AAGTTTTAGATCTCGGAGGTAGTGAGTAAAAGGGGTTTTCACGCGCTAATTGCTCGGAAAGATTCTCAGAACTAATACGATGCAATGGAATGCTAGAACAGTTTTGCGAAAAAAAACAAAAAGCAAACTAAGATTTCATTTTCAAGCTCACTTTAAACATCGCTTTTTTCCAAAAAAAGTGTTTCTTCTTGTTTTCTAGTATTCCAGAGGTTGATCAACCTTTTAAAACGACTGAAAAAATTGACCTTTTCGTCGTGTTTTCCCAGCCTTTTGGAAATCAAAATGAAAACATTACCATCACATTTAAAACTGATACTTTTTCTTTTTTACATAGCGTTATTTTATGGATCAGTGGGATGGTAAATTATATCTGACTTCGTTAATGCTGTTTGCCTTGTTGTAAACGTCGTGCTAAATTTCATCATGCGCGATTGTTTACTTCATCAATCAAGAGATGTAATACTAAGACAAAAGACTGGATATTTTTCAAACGTGGCAACTGCCATGAAGAACTTGTGCATGCTATGTAAAATCTGATAGGATAAACAAAAAACAAAACAAACAAAATAAGTTCTAAAGAATTAAACTAACTTCATTCAAGGTGTGACGCAATTTCCCACTTAAAATTTTGTTTAAATTCAACTTTATTTAGGCCAAAAAAATAGATCAATAGATAAGAGAGATTTTTTTAAATCATGCAAGCGAGAGGGTGTGTATTGCACTAACGTAACAAACAGAGAGCATTTACTGTCGTTGACAAAAAAATTAAGTTAGCGTAATTGAGATTATTTACAAAGTTACGGATCGTGATACACGTCCATACGCATCGATGTGTCAAAGATACGTCAGAGCGTAAGCTTATCTTAACGAGAAAAAAGTATAACAGTTGTAATTCGTGATCATTTCAACTTCTACCTGCCTTGAAGAAGGGCCTCAAGGATTTTTCATCTCCGAGGACAATACCGTGAGCATAACCCACTGAATATTGGAGATCTAAGGGAAGATGAGGGGTGAGAACAATTTTTGTTTCTTTTTTTTATCCTTTTATCAGTATCTCTTGTTTTTGCTGTTTGTTACAAACAAGGTTTAAACAAGGTTGTTTTGTTTCAAGCGAGCAAAATGATAAAAATGTACTACTGGTAATATTGAAAAAAAATGTTGTGTTTTTCCCCTTTTTTCCTTAAAATCAAATGAACGCAAAAAGTCCTATTGATGATTGAAAACAAATGCTTAATGTAAAGGTAAAAAAATCAGGCTGTACATTTTCAAATTTTTGTGCTGTAAGTTTTTATCGATTGGATCTTGTTAAAGCAAGGCAATGGGTCTCGTTTTGAGCTTCATGAAATATTTTTTGAGCTTTGTTAAATGCTTAATCTGTTTTAATGTTCGCCATTCTTGGTCATCTTTTTTTCTCACTTGATTCGCAATTTGCTCTTTTGCGTTTCTCGTTCTTATCAGACCAATATTCTCAGGCCATTTCCAACGTTTTCAGTCTTTTGATGCAAAACAGTTTCTCACCAAAAACGAAAAAAAAGGAAAAGAAAAACGGTGCCATGACTTCCGTGAGTTTTGATTTACCGAAAATAAACTCAGTTCAAACTCTTTGCCTCTCAAGTTACAGCCCTAACCAAATTTATCATACATATATGACCTTACCAAAAGAATTTGGCAGCTGGTGTTTAGACAACGTGATTGAATTCAGAGAATTTCTCCTAAACTTTGATCTACCTACATTCTCTATAGCGTGCCAAGCTTCAAGATTTTTCCCCCTTTTTTGGTGGAAATTGCAGTAAATCCAGTTAGAAACAAAGTAGGCAAAAAGAAACACGTAGGGGAATCTAAACTAAGGGGGCCCGTTTTTCTCATCATGGTATAGGAGTTTTTAGCAGAAAAGTCAAAATAACCTTTATTCCTGTGGTTATGTTTAAATTCAACTTTTACGTAATCGATTCTTTCTTTTCAACATGCGATGAAGTGAATGTCGTTTTTGACTTGTTAATCCTAGCAGGTGTGTCAACAAAGACAGGTGTACTGAATTACGTTTGATGTCAGGTTTTTTGCGAAAATTTTATGTTTTTTCTAGATTTCAAGTGGTGTGTCATTTAATAATTTCCGAGATTTCTTGTACGAACTCCTCTGTGACCTTCTACTTGGATTATAGTTCTGTATAACATTCAAACAGTAATTCTAATTGGAACTCGTTTTGTCGATTTTAACTTGGCTTCTCATAGTACGTCTTGAAAACAATCTTTTCTTTTGCCAGAAAGTTCAAATTTATTAATGAAATGTGAAGCATGAACTTCCACTTTCTATTCCTGCTGGGCCTAACACATTAGTTTAGGAATTCCCTCGAGGTATTTTGCAGTGAATTGTAAATTGTTGCCATGTGGCACGAAGATTTGCTGGGGTTATATTACCCGGAATAGCGTGTTTTTATGCGTTCTGGGAAGAAATTGTTTTCAAATTTGACATAAAAAAACCGAACATTGACCAGAAACTTAGCATAAAATTGGAAATTTTGTTACCTGTTGAGTTTCACAGAAACATCAATCTAAGAATTCGAAGAAGGACATTTCAAATGAGTCCGACTGCAAAGAATACGAGATGACTTGCACGCAGAATTTATGTTTGAATGACAAAAATAAAACCTTACGGCGTTTTCTCTTGTCGGACATTTTTTGCGGCTTGTTTTTCTTTTTTTTTCCGCAAAGATCAGACTAAAACCCGCAAAATTGTCACACATCAAAATATACTCCGGAAAGAAACCGGTGCTCAACTAGACAGCCTAGCTGCATTTGTGAATTTGATATCTACCATAAAACAACGTAACTCTTTCGATATTAATGAAAATAAAGGAATAAGAAAATTAGTATCATTTGAATTAAGGAAAAAAAATCCCAGGCTTTGTGCTGGGATTATGTTTAACTTGGCAACTTGTTTCACTCTTTTTTAAATTTACGAATAACCACAATATCACATTTTTTTCTAGGATCTAACATGTTCGGGAAGTTTATTCCTCTTTTGTTCCTCCTCGCTTCAACACAAGGTAAACAGAAGAGAAGGACAACCGTTATTCTCATAATACTGGTCACCAAGGATTTCCAAATGCTGCCATCTGTAGTTTCGTTTTGTAGTACTTTATAATCCCGTTATTCGAGGGCCTCTATGGGGTGATGGCTTTTATGGCTTACGGTAACAATTTTGGGCAATATACGGCCAACTGTTGATACCTTTCTATTATGGTTACTAGAAATCCTTTAACGGTTAATTTTGTTTCGTCGTTTTACGGCTAACGGTTTCAAAACCCCATTGAGACTTTCCTATTACAACATGCTACCATATCAGGGCTACAGGACGTGCAAACAAAGCGATGGTATCACAATATAGAATAGGGCAGGAATGCAGGCGGAAAGTGGAATAACACTGAAATGGCCGCACTTAACGATCCAAAATTAAACTTCTTTACGTCTTAACGGCTTGAATAATTAAGCGACGAACTTAAGGAGGCACAGATTTCTTGATTATTATTTTTTTTTATAAAGAACACTCGAAAGGTTTCGTTTTTGTTGTCGTATTTCGCGCGCGCCTTCTACGGATCGATACGACACTCAGATAATGCTGAAGGATGCGTTTCGAGAACTAAGCAATGAAATAATATTGAAATGACAGGGTGGACGTATTTCTAAAATATCAACTCAATATACCAACCATGACTTTAATAGCCCAATTTTTTCCCTGAGGGACCGCTCATTATTCATCTCTTGGAGCGATTGCAGAGTTTTGGTTGTGTCATGAGAAAAATATACCTGATTCCCCCCCTGAGGCTCTGTGACATTCTTATGTCCCCCTCCTCCCTATTAGCAGTTTTTTGCAAGTCGGTTTTTTACAGTCTCCCCCCCCCCTTCTAATCTGTTGGTGAAGACTAATCCCCACTTCTTTCCCCCTAAAAACTATGTGATTCCCCCCCCCCATCCCCCCCCTTCTCGCGGTATTTATTGACTGCTCCCTTAACGCTAAAATCACATTTTTTTCAACAGGAGCTTCGACTAAACCTCCAGGATCAGGAGGTAAACGTTTAAACATAGTTGAGCCTAAATAAACTGGAGACTGTTCGGGATCGATCAGGGTCTCTGCTCTGGTTGATCAAATCTTATTTTTGGCTGCATACATTAAACTACATTGTTCTCTACATTTGATGGAGAACTTGTATTGCAATTTCCCCCAAAAATTTCTCCTTTTAAAAGTTTGATCCTGGGTAGATTCAGCAAGGCAGTGAAGATACATGATCGACTGTTACTTCTGTGTGCAAACCAGTTTTAGCTCATTAAAAAACGAAAGATTTTATGCTATGTTACAAATGTAATGCAACCGGTTTTTGTTTTTCTTTGAAACGAACTATACCATTATTTTCCATTCAGTGTAGTGGTTCTCATATACGTGTACGTATTCCTGAAAAAAAAATCACCGAAATATACGACCATGACTTTAAAAGCATTTTCTTTCCTTATCACTTTGATCGCATTTCTTTCCAACAGAAGCTTCTACAGCATCAGCTTTTCCACAGTCAGGATGTACAAAACAATTCTTTAGCTTCTCACATCTAATTCCATTGTTCTATGCATTTAACAAAGACTTGTAAGTTGAAATCCTGCGCATTACCTACAAAAAAATCTGTCGTCTCAGAGCTTTATCCTAGGTAGATTCCACGCGACGATAACACTACATAATCGACTGTTACTTCTGAGTGCAAACCTAGCGAATTTCATTTATATTATTTCTTATCATTCACGGACTACACGTCTGTTTGTTTGGTTTTTTTTTCCCTAAACCCTCAATTTGGCGATTGCTATTGTTTTCTTCAACCTTGTCATTAAGAAAACAGACTCGCTTATTAGATTACACGAGTTTTATGTGTTTGAGTATTTTAGTTGGAACCTGTCAGGAAAATAATTTGCCTGTTGTTGTGCCTTTTGGAGGAATAGGGAAAGGAGATGTGAAAGCCCCACCCCACTCTAAAAGAAATAACACACGCATGCGTAGCATACCTATATTCTCTTGTAGGTCTTGGGAAAAACTGCTACATGTCACGACAACCTAAATGTCCATTGGAGCGCGAATGGATCGGCTGTTACAAAGACGATGGCTATCAACGGGCGTTTCCGGAACTTCTTCTTACAGCAAGAGATGATACGTCTGCAGTTTATTTCGGAGAGAACATAAATTGGAAAGATTGGGAAAACTTCATCGACAGGTTAGATCTTATTGTGAATATTAGCCAGAGCTTATCTAATGTCGCTGTGTGTAGCCATACAATCCACTGAAAAGGGTTGATTCTAACATTGCGCCTGTCTGAGTCGAGGAGCCATGATGGTGTATATCTTTATACCCTCATGGAGTTGCTCTCAAGCTTTTCCAACTCTTGCAGCGCTTTTCCATTGAGTGTCGTAAAACCAAATTTAAAGATATCACAGCGGGAAATCCGAAGAAAGGAAAATACCCTACAGAGCCGATGAGGACTCAGAGTAAAAACAACCAAACCGCCTAAAGCGCGGGAAAATGGCTTCAGTTTTGCATCCAATCGGTTGAGAGAGTGGCGCGGGGTTTTTGGACCAATTACAGAGCAAAGCAAACAAAACTAATAGAATCTCAGATAACTTTCGACGCTGAATTGAAAATTGCTCTATTCTCCATTTTTATTCGATATCTTTCACTGCTATCTTGTCTTCTTTTGTAGGTTTACTTGCGCGTGCGCGCAGAAAGCTAAGCAGAAGCACTTCAACTATTTTGGCATTGAGTATTATGGTGAGTGCTGGGGCGGTGTGCGTGCTGATTACAGCGTCCACGGAATGTCTGAAGAGTGCAAAAGCATCACAGGGCCGGACTGTTCTTTTAGGAATTGCGATGAAGAGTCAAACAAGCCTAAAACTTGCGTCGGAGGACAATGGGCTTTGTACGTCTATAAAATTAAACTAGGTGAGTGAGTGCCGGGAAAATAGCTGATCGCCTTCACGGGAATTTTGTGTAGGAATCGAACTCTATGATAAGAGGAGACGCAGCGGCTTAGAGATGATCTCGTTGGACGTCGAGTCGACAGGGCGCGATTCGAGCTTTGGATGGATTATTGTACAGAGTTCTTGGGCAACACACCTCTCTCACAGTACCTTTTTCCTCCCAGGATTGTAGATGGGTGCAAGGAATTACCAGGGAGGGGGGGAGGGTAACCATAGCAATACTCTTACGGTATAGCTTAAAAAAACTTAGCAGGAGTGTTATGGCGAATCCTTTTTCCGTCATGCGGTAACACATGTTCGTGCACTTTGAGACAACTGAAATTTCTGCAAGAAACTTGTGATGTTTGTGACTTTTCCCTAGCAACAAACTTTTGCTTCACAAATTAATTTTTGTATTTCTTTCCACAGTGCACCCGCCACCACTCCAACCATCGACACCGCCAACCCCACCAACCCCCCAACCGTACCCATAGTGACATAGTTCCCATCTTAACCTACGATGGCGCTGTCAACTAACCACCATATTGTTAGAAGTAGAGGAAGACGAGGGCGAGGATATGTCTAACGAGTCGTTTCGTCTGTAGTGATTTTGTGTGTTTTGATAACTGGAGCAGATGTAGCATAGAATGAAATAAATCAAGACCGCAATACCAAATTTGTCTCTTTGTTTGTAATAGCTTCTCATGATCTTTAGAAATCCTGCCAAACCTATCTTTTCGCAACCCCCACTAATTTCATTCAAACGTGACAAAGACATAGGCAACTTTTTGGTCAGAAGTTCATTTCAAACCAATGAACAACCTGGAACTTTCACATGCGCTCGCTCGCGATGCAAAAGTTGTCCTTTCATACATAACGTAGAGAAAACATCGGGATCCAAGAGATCCATTAAGATCACTGATCACTTTACTTTATTCTTGTTTTCTCGTCACCATATTCTCACCAATAGCGTAGCTCCATTTTCTGCCTATAAACCCGCACACAACCCACAATTCCTCCAATCGCTATGACGAAGGGCTAACGCTCGAAACGTCAGCCTTTTTAATCTATACGGTGGCCAATTTACGTTTTCAACTCAGTTGTTAACACTAAATTGCCTACTATACTCTCCCACCGACGCAGCACCACAGTTTCTTTAGAAACTTATCCCCTTTAATCAAAAGAAGTAAGTCTGTTCCGAGCGCCATAAAATAAACTACCTACCAGCCTCTCTTGCTCTAGCCGTACTGGAGAATATTGGCTTTAACGTGACTATCGACCGAGAGAGAGAGAGTCATTTGTGGTGAAGATGATTTAGAAACAATCTAATAAAGGAGAAAACTAAAGGTGTGTTTTTCATGACCCTTATTGGTACTATGTTGGTTAGTGGAGAGAATTGTTTTTTCTCTTTTGTCTCTTATTGAGCCACGTTTTGCTTTTTCTTACGGATCGCAGCAGCAATTTTGTATAAGTTCCAGCTTTGTGTATCATTCTTTAAGGTTCTCCTTCATTCATCTTGCTTTTAAGAGGAAGTTAGTCCCATTCTGAATTTTAACTATAAATGTCCGTTCACAGTTAGCGAAACGACGCTGCATGGCCAGAACTAATATCGTTCTTTTTTAACCAATAAAAGATCCTATGACATACTTATCTAATTGATGTTGACTGGATCACCAAAGCTTCTTCCACGTGGTTACCATGAGTTGTCTGTTAATTTTCAAACTGATGAGGTGACCCATGTTAAAAAGAAACACAGCTTTGTTTGATCAGCTTGAAAGGTTAAGTGACTGTTTGTTAGTCACACCATTAACCTGGCAAATAACACGTTCAGTAAACATTCACGGAAATTTGCAGCCTATGTCTCAACGGTAAAATGCTACTGCTGTTTCACTTTGCGATTGGCATTAAAAGTTTTAGATCTCTCATCTTCCGTCGTTGTTTTACAGACCTCTCTGCGCTTGGTCCATTTTGCGACGACCTTATCCAATGTTCCCCAGTACGGCCCTCACTCTCGGCTAGTTTAAAAGTTAGTATTCAAGGCTACTCGTCCTTGCCACTTTTAAGGCGAGTCAATTTTTTCGCTCCAAGAATGCCAACTAAATACATCACAACAGCATAATTACATACAAATGAAAAAAATTCAGAACAATATGGAACGGAAGTTTAATAACAAGGAGAGAAAAAAATTTATGTCTTATGAAATAGTTGTATGAGGATAACATAACGGTGCCAGGAGAACACTTCACATATAGCTTATCCAAATGGGAGCAGCTACCATATTTTACTTCAGAAATTGAACGAGCCACTAGCTAATGGTAGCTCATTTGCACAGTAGCCTAAGAGTAATCCTGAAAACTGTGAGAGTGAATTTAAGTGCTCTAATTTCTGCGCTATCTCACTTTTTTATACATGGTAGTACAGATTTTTCCGATTTAAATCTGCACTTTGGAAACGTGCCTTCCAATTTGCAAGTTTACAGGGCGTGCAACAGAGAAGAGAGTTTCGTTTAGCCTGATCCTGTTGCTGGATGAAAATGTCGCCTGAGGACAGGGCCAAAAATCAGTTACTGTAACTTGAATTAGGGACCGAACAGTTGTTTTATACAGAGTAAGAAGGATGGTTAATTTCAAAGTAATTTTAGGAAAGATGTAATATGTTTGCGACAACCATGAAGGAAAGAACAAATCTGTGAAATTCATTGGAACACTCAAACCTCAGACTTTCCGATTTCTCGGATGGATATTTAATACCCACTGAACTGCGCAGAGCTAGTTGGTTAATTGACTAGCCACATACAAGTTTCAGGTGTGACATGCTTCAAGGCATGACATCTTTCCTTAATTATTCTATAAATTCCAAACCTACACTCTCAGAAGAGTAACATAAACTATTGAGAGACGTGCATTGTAGTGCAGGGGATGCTACAATCGATTTTCACTTAAATTCGTCAACTGATCGCCGCAGGATACAGAATTGAAATCTTTCGGAAAATGGGACACACCAAACATAAACATGAAGACTGGATTTTGCACGCAATTAAAAGTTACAGCAAATTTTGTTCTTCCCTTGTCATTGTCATTGTCGGATCTGCTCGGACTTTAGGCTTATTAAACTATTAATTGAGAAATATATTAACTGTGTTTTCTATGAGTTGCATAAACAAATGTAAAGGCCGCTGAGTCTCCAAAGAAACGAAACTGTTTCGTCCACATCAACACCTCCTGACAGCGGGACATTGATTTGTCCTTCTCATCTTTCCACATCTGAAATGGAAATAAATTGAGCCGTTATCCGTAAAATGGTCAATATTTCAATCATTGGCCGTACAAGCCAACACCCCATCAGGAGCCCATTACCCGGAACCTCCATACCAATCGTACCCTTGAGTCAACCCTGTCCCGTATCTTTTTATTTGTAGAACTGAGATACGTGGGGGGTTCTTTAATTTCCCGCGAAAACACGCTGACGTTCGCATAACACCCTAAAAAAATGGTAAACTCTTCTCGCTTTTCGCCATTACTGAAATACTTTCCTGCGGCCAGCATGGGACGTAAACAGTAGAAAACCACAGCTCTCTTATGATTGGCTGTTATGCAAACACCCGCGAAAAACCCCGTCGGAGGTGCTTCTGAAAATAAAAAGATACGGGACAGGGTTGCCTCAGAGAGTAAGTATGGAAGATGGAAGATGGAAGCTACGGATAATGGGAACTGTTTCTCGAAGGTTCCGCAATTTAACAGGCCCGGAAAGCTGTTCTGTTATCTTTCAAGATGGGATTTTCCAAATGTTTAAAGATTCTACAATAAAAATATTAGCTTAAGAAACAACATTTATCTGGTTAGGGTGTCAGAATCTACTCATTCTCTATCCTTTAAATTTTCATTTTAAAATATGGCTTCGGGCCCATTAAGTTACCGGAAACTTCAAGAAATGGGCCCCAGGTCCGAAAATCGAACCCAGGGAACAGTGGGGGGGCAACTAGGCGCTCTTCCCGCTCCCCAGTCCCTTTACTGGTATAATATTTCAATACGCCGATTCTATATTTTAAAACATCAGCTGATCCCAATAACATCTAAATTAATTTAAGTCTTTGTATCTGTAAAATGAATATATTTTAAACTTTTTAAAATTCCAATAGTTGATGCATGCAATGACCCATGCTCTAACTACCCAAGAACTCGACGTAAACGACCGTCTTCTCAGTTATACTGATCAGAGCTCACCCAAATGTGATAAAATGACCTTACTCCTGGTTGGTATCGCTTCACTGGTGTTTCTGGTAACCTCACAATGCCTACTGCATGTCTAACAGATGTGCGTGTCTGTAATACCCATGCCCCGGGATGGCTCAACGGTCAACATCCTACGACAGATGAAGGCGAAGTAACGCGTCAAGTTTGTTGTCACTGGTTAAGCAACTGCTACAAGTGGTCAAACAACATCAAAGTGAAGAATCAACTTTTCGAAGGAACAATTCCCGTCCCCAAGAAAACCTACCAAAGTAATTCTTGCGGAGATAACCTTTTTCGTTAACTGTGCAATTACCATGGGCTTGGCCCAAGGCTCTTTTGTGCGCACTCTTTCGTTAGGTTTCCTCCTCAAGATTAGAGTCGACAAAATTGGTACAACGGAAAATAATAGAGTGGTAATTTATAGATTTCCGGTTTTCAATCGTAACAAAACTCTTCCATTATCGGGTAAATCTAACTAGAGTTGTACCTTTATGGATGTCATTTAATAACACACACGTTTCAAATCCGAGTTTATTTTTATATCAGTGAAAAAAAAAATCTGCGATGATAGAGTGTTCGGGAGAAAACTCTTTATGGTGACGCAATATTACTGTTTTAAGTTTGAAAATCAGTTTGAAAATTTTTCATTACATTTATACCCTAACATCAGTTTGCATATTCTCCATACTGTTCTCGATACATTTTCTATGGTACTGACAAGGAGAGTTTGTTTAACAATCAAGATCTTCAGTTGGTAATCGATCATTTCCTTTATCCTCGTGAACTAATCTTTGATTCAGGGATGATCTTGAATGGAGGAATTAAATGCAAGTTTGCGCAGCTGTGAAAGGGTTAAAATTGACTGAAAAGAAACGAAGGGTGGGTGTTCTAGTGAATTGTGTTTCAATCTGTAGCGCAACCTTGAGACTGCAGTTCTAGGGGAAAAAGTATCAAAACAAAGTTTATCAACCACATATATGATGGACCAAGGCCGTTAGTGTGGAGGCTTTAGCTTTATTTCCCCATATGTTGTCAATACTTGAATTAAACAACTGTTTTTGAAAAAGAAGGACATCGGAATGGAGAAATTCAGAACGATTCTTCACGGGAATTAAACAAATAAGGGGCAAATAAGCCACGGTGGGGCACCCTTTTGTTTATGTTCACGACCACGCCCTATACCATCTTTTTTTTCGCCAAAACCGACATAACATGCGTATGTGGTTGAATTGTTTCACACCCACCAAGTATGACGCGTAATTAGTCAGCTGTCTGTCGAGTTTGAGGACGTTAATACAAGGTGATACGAGGTGAGGGCTTTGCGAAACCAAAAGGATTTTAAGTCAAGTAGATACGGACTATGGAAGAATTTGCACTCTTCTTCTAAGACATGTCTCACTGGTACTAAGGTTAGAACTTCCATAAGGTCTGTTGCTTAAGGGTTTGTCATAGAAGACGATGAAGAACTCAAATGATGACAGTCGCAAGAACGGGAAAAATAGCCTGAAAACAAGAGCAAGAAGACTACGACCCTGTCAGATATGTAGCGCAAACTGCTGTAGTGTTCTTTTCGTGTCTTCTTCACATAAACATACAGAAGACGAAAACAAAAAACCACACCTTCTTTCTTATGGTTTTTCTGAATTCTTCTCTTGGCAAGCTATTTTAAAACTAAATCAAGTCCTGCTGCCAAGTCATTAAAAACTGCTAAATTATCATCAATTCAAAATCGACGTAGACAAATTCAGACAAGAAATTTCAAGTTTAATGTCAAAAGTAATCCAAATTTACATTAGTCAGACTCCAAGATTGATTTTGAAAACTGACACCTTTTCCTGCGCCTCAGAGTTGACTATTTTGAACTTTTAGCACGTACTCATAAGTTCGTTGTAACATATTCCTTTTTCCCGATTTTAAACCGTGATTACGTTGGTTTTGGTTTGATAACACTCAATTGAAAGAACAAGTGTGCTACACAGTATTAAGAAACATTACAGTATGAAACAACTCCGGAGCGGAATCCCAGCTGAGTCAGAGAACACAACCTTTTTAATGCTGTAGACTGGTTAAGCTGAGAATAAGGTAAATTTTAAATACTCTACAAAGCAATGTGACATGCAATCTCGTCATTGAAAGAATTCGGTGTCTAGCAAGTAATAATAATAATAATAATAATAATAATAATAATAAAAAGAAGGTAAGGCTCTTAGGACCCCACCCTCCCCCCCCCCATCTTGTATAATTTAAATATTCAGTAGCTTACGGGGGGTGACGTTTCATGAAATTTAGTCGTTTAATGTTTGATTTAGAGTTAGAGTGTGGGAGAGAGGGGGAGCGGGGAAAGACGAGAAGACCGCATCAATCAGAGACTCCTTTCGTGGGCGAACAGAATTTCCCAAAAAGAACATTAATCTCGAGCTGGCGTTATTTCTGTAGCCCCATCCCCTCCCCTCTCCCTCCTTTTGACGGTCGCCCATCCACTAGGTAGAAAATGTCTTTCTCTCCCCAGCCTTCCGCTCCTGTAAAAATCAAAGATGGCAGCAGCTATAATTTTCACCAAGAAAATAACGACCACTTACTCGCGCCAAAATCACGCCTGCCCTGCAGACTTCAATTTTAACAAAGAACGCCCAACTGCGAGACAATCATTCAAATAGAACAGACAAATCAGGAAACCACACGGGTGAGGTCAATTGAAAGGCGTAACAATATGTCTCACTGGATACAATAAACAGGAAACTAAGCAGGAAACTTAAAAGTAGCCTCTTCGTACTTCCCTTAGCTAATTGCACTTAAAAATTGCCTTCAGGGATAAACAACATGATTAGTTTATTTTCAGTATCGGTAACTATAATGTTGCCGTCTTGTTCGAGAAGTAAACGATGCGCAGATTTTAATTGCTGTTCAAAGTCTCCTTCCAATCCTCACTCAATACCCTTGTCCTCTCTAGACTCGAATTTAAGGCTAAACAGCACCTGAACAAGAGGGACGAAGGACTGAACAATACCTCTTGTCATGTCTGCACCTAAAATATCCTTGTTCTTGTCTGGCGCATCGAACTATTTGCCTCTGTTGTCTCGCTTAACAGACCAAATCCCTTGCAGGCTTAAGCCACGTCCGGTCCATTTGCTGGCTCTAACGTATTCAAAGGCTTGAAATTGTTAAAAATTTTTTTTCTTGGACAGGGAATGGACTGCAGATAATGTCTTCCACATTTAATAACCCACAAGGACGCTCGCATCTCTTGGGTTACTTGGGCGAAAAAGTGTATCTCGTAGAGCCCATCTTCATTGTTGCGGCCTCTCACTCCTGTAGCACTTTCGAGACAATTTTTGTCTTCGACTCCCATAGCAATTCGAACTTTCTGGTTGCAGCAAGGATCGCCGGCAGAGCTTCTTCCACTTATCTCGATTTTTCCTCCGCATCCGGCAAATACTTCACAAATTCCTCCAACTTAGACACAACAACGGGCGGTATCCGAATCACTTTTCGTTTATGAGCCAATTCCTTTCTTGTTGAGAATGTCCAAAATCTTACTACTTTCCTTGGCGGACGAATCTCCTTTATGAGAAGCTTTTAGGATGTTATAAGATTCGAAAATAGAGATAGTCTAACAACAAAATCATATGCTTCTGCTAATAGCTAGCCACTCAACTATCACGTTCTCCACAGTAGAAAGTATGATCCCATGATAAGATTGTTTTTTTTTTAATTTTTCCCGTTATGGCTGACGATAAACAAAGTGAAATGACTCCCACAAACAGTACACTGCGCCATGCGGGAAAGCAAACCATTAACACTTTTCCCAGTACTTTGAACAATTCCACTCGAAGCACTAGAAACGATTTATTTCGTTATTCACACGCTTTTGCGAAACTTAAAGAGCTTTTGGTCGTGATAATAGAGCTTACTCCTATTGTTGTAAACATTCAAAATAGCTTGAAGAGATAACATATACATATACATATACATATAAATATATATATATATATATAATCTCATTTCAACATATCTCGTGAGAAGCAACATACACCAATTCTTCTTGAATAAAAACTCTCCCCATCAAGGGAAGGGCCAATAAAAAGAATCATTAACAGTACCATTATCAATAAAAATATCTTTGTTGATTTCGTTATAAATGAAAAGAAAGAAACCCACATTTTATATGCCAACTGAGTTTGTTTGACCGAAGCGTCAAAAGCGCGTAGCCTGCGCGTATTTTTCTTCAGTGCGTATTTTTCTTCAGTGAAGAAATGAAAAACCGTGTTGGTCTAAAACGGTTTTTTTATCAGTCTCTCTAGTTTTTTTATTCTACTTGACTCCTGCTCGGTTGCGGTGTGAGAAGAAACAGCCGCAGACTCTCCAGGCGCACTACCTGCCGGAGGGGAGGGTAGACGAGAGCGAAATAGGTCCAGCATGCTGTGTTGTTCGCTCCGCTTTAAACCCTGGAGAGAGAGTTGGTACATAACAATTACTACGAAAAAAAATTTAGCTAGCTGAATATACTTGCCTTGACAGTTTTCGAAATGAATGTTTATCCCACGGCAAACACTTAAACACGACGTTCGCCTAAAATAAAACTCTGCGTGTTGTTCTTTTTTTTGTCTTGTTTTGTTTTGTTTTGTTTTTTGAATTATTAAAGCTGGGGTTTCCATAAAAGCAAGTTTACTGTCGGTCTACCGCCGCCACCCAAGTTTGGGTTTCGCTTCACGACCTCTTTTACGGCTGTTTACGGAAAGAGATATTTAAACCATTGTATGAAGTGCGACTTAAACATCAAGCGATGAGAGCACAAAAAAAACCGTTAACGGTGCAGAGAACCATTGGACAGCACGACTTTGAAAGCTCTACACGAAAAGTGGCCGAAAAAGGGAAACATACTGGTAAGGACGACATATGACGCGAAGCAAATCAACAGTGGTTTCGGACGTGCGTCCATATCTTCTTACCTAAGCAACTTATAGTACGTTACATTACGATGTCGGTGCAAAGAAAACACTACGACTTCTGCTACAGGAACGACAGTAACCATTGTAAACTATGGCGTTGTTACTATTGTTTGCTTTTTGTTATTAGTATTTGCTGCGGCTAATAACAATTTTCATGACGGAGGTTCATGCAGTAGAAATCAATTTACAAATTTGTATGATGATGTTAACTTACGATATAAAACTGGTGATATCATGTTTATAGTAAACATCACAGTGAAAAGGCCATAAGGTATCAGTTCAATTGTTCTCACCTTCATGTCCAGTAGTTTTTGGAAGTTAGAAGTATCTGTATCAGCAAGTAACTTTATGTAATTGTCCACAAATCCAACCGCGGGATCGTGAGGAGACATAACGACCTACAACGAAAAACAAAGTGATTGAAGTAGGTTTAGGTACATTAATGGCGATTTTCACTCTTTCACTCCCAATATCTCATTAGTAATTCTCCTTACTGTCTGCCATACAATTCTTATGATGTTAGTTTGGAGAATTTGGAATTAGATCAACTTATAATCCTCTAATTGATATGAGGGCTCAGCTGCTAATCTGATATGGGAGGTTTTCGAGGGAAGACGTTTCCGCTGGAAAAAAAAAACTGTTCAAGACAGATACACTTATTGAAATCCTATTACTTAAGCTATATGAGAAATCTGAAAAAGCTTCTGTCCTGGCTAAGTGAAAGAGGTAATCCCCTTGTGCTTTTCTTCAACAAGAGGGTACAAGAGAACAGAAGAAAAAGGTCTCCAACCAGGTGGTGTCGTCCAATCCATTACCTTTAATATCATTTCTGCCTTTTTCATTCCCTTCGCCACCACTTTAGTGTAACTGCAGCCAAGAAATCATACAACAAATAAACAACTGATGAATTTAGAATATATGGGTGAAGTGTTAAAACTATCTACTATAACAAAGTACATTTTTTCCTGTGACTGATTACAAACACAACGAGCGAGTACCGAAAACGTTCTGATTGCTCCCTCCCCTTTTAAGCCCCTCGCTCTGAGATGCCCCTTTGACCATTTAACTCCCACAAGTGATTAACAAGTAACTTCTCCCTATAATATCTAAACATTTTCCAGCAAACAGATCATGAGAATATTTATACTTATCAGGTCGAAGTTGTTACCTCGATCTGACACCAAATTCTCGTAACTTATTGATAAGGAAATGCGTAGCAGCTAGATGGGAGAATTAACAATCAGATCTTGGGAGTTAAAGGGTTAAGTCCAGAACTTAAACTATCTCCCCTACAGATCTCCCTTCCTCCCCCATGTTAGGGCGTTTCTGGTCGTTTAACAGTTGAGTCAAAGGATAAGCTGGATGACTTACCTTGCTGGAGGCTTCCTTTGCACTTTTGAGCCGATTGAGGGAAGATCAAGGAGAGTTGTTTTAAGAGAGTGAGTGTCCAGTAACAGCTGCAGCGTAACAAAAACGAAAACAGCCATTGGCCAAACCTCTTAAAAAATATTACAGGATGCTTCAATCAGATCGAATCAACAGGACAAGCAGAGCGAAGTAATTCACAGCCAGAAGCATGAACTGAGGAAAGACTTACGCCCTAAATATCTCCTCGAGAGGAAATAAATAAAAAAAAACTTCCTTAGTACTAAAGCGTTCGTCTTTTCAAAATGCAGGTACTGTTTAAGGTCTATAACCTGTCAGACGAGGTAGCGTGATGCTTAGCGCGCTGGAATCCGCAAAGGAAGGTTCTGGTTTAAATCCTAGCGGAGTCATTGAGTGAGACACTTCACTTTCAGAGTGCCTATCCCCACCTAGGATTACGAATTAGTAAGGGTGACATGCCGGGAAAACCAAAAGAATTGCTTGTGGGTAAGCTGCCCCAATGGAGCGGCATTCCATTCAGCGTCAGTAACAATGTCATCTGTCCCTGGGTTAATCTTCGACAGGGCGGGTCTCTGAGCTTGTTGGCAGACGTCCTTACCTTTCCTTTGAAGGCTTCAAATACTTGCAAAACTCTAAAAACCCGATATAGTAACTTTCACTCTACCTGCTCAGCGCCAACAGTGCTAATTGGCTTGCATTTATACAAGTTGCTGATGAACCGTGGAATGAAAGAACTGAGGAAAAAACAAAAAAATTATCTTCTCTTACACACTAGCTCATCATCTTAGCTTTATGAGACTCGACGAACTGTCGGAGAATTTTAACCTTTATCATTCAACACACTTTTCTATAAATAATAATGGAAAATACTTGTATCCGTGAGATAGAGCCACAGTAACAGCATTGCCTAATCGAAAACAGTCTCGAGTTACTTTCGCCAGCAATAATCAAGATAACCACACATTGCGTTACTTTATTCTGAGAGGACTACTTCATCCTTTTCATCCTTCAACGCAAATTATTCAGGACTGCATTCATTTTGCTTTGGTTTTCAATCACCCAGATACAAAACTGAAACTTGCAATCGCGACTTTCAACCCCAAGGTTCAATTGCTAATCCTTCCCTCTGGCTGCTTAACACGAATATGATGTCAGATAAACTCAACTTTGCAACTGATAACTTGGAGTATTCACATTATCTGTTAGCAGGATAATGTAAGGATATTACGGGGAGAGGTCCCACGTTAACCACTTCTGGGTGTTCATTTTTAAAAATACCGCGTTTTCTCGCGCTTCGGGCCGGTTCCGTTTTAACTATGAGTTCCCAATGACTCACTTTGATATTCATCATTGTTCTTATTTCCCGTTATGATTACATTGGTTTTAGTTTTACGATAATCAAAATCAAGCTTACTTGACAAACTTTACGCAGAACTGAGTGAAGTATTTTCTTGCTGAGGACAGGTAATCACGTAAAAGAGGTACGGCTTCCTTCAGGTGATTGGAAATGGCTGTCACATAAGAGCTCTCGTCTCCTACAGCCTCTACGCTTTGCCAATTGACCTTCAAGTAAACAAAAGCAGTTGACGAGTCAATTTTCTCCCAACAACGTGGCCTATGTTTGGTCGATCCGAACTAAGCATACGCTTAGGTGACGTCATAGGTTGTTTTCATTATTTTCTCCAACAAGGACCATGGTTCTGGAAATGTTTACTAGATTCAGAAAAGGCCTCGAGGAAATTTAGGCAAAAGGTATCCACTAACACCAAAGTAAGAGACCATGGCAACAAAAATTGGAGCAAATCCTCGAAAAGTCGAGCCGTGTATCTCTTTTTCATTTAGGGAAGAGTTTAAGATAATTCAACAACTGCGAGTTATTTACACCAGATTCGCTGCGGCTCGTAACCCAGAGTTTAGACATCATCTCAGGTCGATAAATGGACAAACACACAGCAAAGTGGCATCTATTTCTAAAGCTTATAACTTCCTGGTCTTTTTTCTCCTTTTTTTCGCTAATTCTATCTAATGGATTTAACCTTGTCATGTTTATCTCTGATTATTATTAAAGTAACTCTAAAAAGTTTTACTGTCAATTTAACTACAAGTAAGAAATGGTGACTGGAAAAGAACCATGAAAGATATGTATTTATTGCTTCAAAAGTTGCCATTTCTTCAGGGGGCCATTTCAGTGATTATTTGACTCAATACGCGTCACCTGAAGAAGAAAAGAAGAACACTGCACCTTTATCAATGCTGTCAAGGGCGCATCGCAAGCATTCTCCAAGTCTTGTACAAGCAGCTGGATACAGTTCGAAATGACACTGGCGATAAAATAAACGCAAATGAGTAGATTGTTAATAGTTACCACCCTGTGATGTCATTTACCTCAACCTGAAAACGAGGCCGAGTACAAATTGCTCAACTATACAATGACTCAACAGAAATTTTAGTTTACACTCAGTATACAAAGCAGGTTACTAGTATCTTCGAAAGACAAAATGGAGCTTTACTAAATATTTTATATGAACAACCGTCGCTTCAAAAGGGAAATTCACCAAGGAATAAAGATGTCCCCCAACCGTATTGTAATTAATTTAGTAAGCACTTAATTTTGCGTAAATGAAAGAGGCGTATTCCAGCTTGACAGAAAACTCGTGTTCCAAGGAAAAGAATTTAAAAAACAAATCAATCGGCATGGTTTCAATTTAATTCTTGTAGCCGTAAATTCAACAGAACAATGGCAAGAGAAACTTTCAACGTCGTCGTCCGCAATAAAGAACAAGATTATATTTCTACTACACAGTGTTAAAAGCCTCACTAGTACCAGTAACACCGACTCAAATTACTATAAAACGTCAAGGGACAATAACTAAATGACAGTGTCAACTTCTCAAAACGGGTTTTTGTTAGAAGGGGGGAATTGAACTTCCTTGAGAAGCTCAGGGGTTTCTCATTCAGTACCTCATGCATAACTTTATAGTCACAAGAGGAAACAATTCTTGACCTAGTCTGTAATCAACTTCAGTGGACTTGACACATCCCTAAGCCACACAAGGAGAGTTTCTGCGCTCTTGTCTTCCGGTAGTTCATTTTGGCGCCCAGGTTCAAACATCAGAGGGTACATCGGAGTGAAAATGATTAAAAATAGAACTTAGGCGTGTTTTCTTCCTTTTACAGGTGCTTTCCCTGACTTTCAGTTCTTTAACCAATAAACTTTTATCAATTTGACGGTTTAATTTTCTTAAATAAATATTTGCAATATAGAATTCGGAACTCACAGTTGCTAACTGTTCTGTTTTCAGAAATTAAAGCTAATACGTTGATCAAAAAAGTTCCATAAGAATCACTTTTCGGTAGATACACTTTTCAACAGGAAGTAAGGAATAATAACAAAAAGATGCGAAGAACATCAATTAACTCTAGACGTGTACCGTTTAATTTATTCAGCAAGGAACATGTGTGCCAATTTGTCTTGTTCATTGCTGTTTTTTTTTTTACCAGCTGCTTTGAAACTTTCTCAACGAACTGCATTCGAATCACGCACAGAGAAGATTATCATTTAGTGTCAACTCCAGAGAACAACTGATCATCAATAGCTATGTCAAACTCGTCCGGAGAAGGAACCCTTGTGAACACAAATCCCTTTGTATCACCTGGCTTTGTGAAATTATTCTCAGCCTTTAACATTTTTCTTTCCATCACAGCAATTCTAGGAAATGTCCTCATCCTTCTTGCTCTCCATCGAGTGTCTTCTATTTATCCGCCGACAAAATTCTTCTTCCGATGTCTAGCTATCACGGACCTAAGCGTCGGGCTATTTACACAACCACTCTACATAATCTACAAGTTCTCTTCGCTAGTAAACGTGGAAAGACCTACTTTTTACGGCAAGTATCTTGAAGCAGTTCGCATAGCCTCAAGTGCAGTTTTGTGTGGATTATCCGTTTTGACGTCTACTGCCATAAGTGTCGACAGACTTCTCGCCCTGTTGTTGAGGCTGAGATACAGATATGTTGTAACCTTGATGCGAGTTCGTCTCACAATGCTTTTTATTTTGATCATTTGTGCTTTATTCGTCGTTATTTGGGTTTGGAAAACGGAAGTTTTCTACAAGTTATCCTCTATTATCATAACGCTTTCGTTGGCAACTTCTACTGCATCTTACGTCAAGATCCACTTGTCTATACGACACCAACAGGCACAAATACAAAACCATGTTCCCCAAGCAGAATCGAGCACAGGAGGAAGTCCATTCCACATAATAAGATACAAAAAGACAGTGTCTAGTATTTTGTGGGTACAACTGGCCTTAGTTGTGTGTTATGTTCCCTATGTTATTGCAGCAGGGACTGGAGAAGACAACGGGCTAGCTTGGTTGGCTGTAACCACCCTCGTCTTTTTAAATTCATCTCTAAACCCGATCTTGTACTGCTGGAGAATCAGAGAAGTGCGACAAGCAGTGAAGGATACAATCAGGCAACGACACTGTTGTTAGGCAGAACTTCGTGGATCGACAGTGAATATTCTTTAAACAGCGTGGAATAGTAAAGGCCCTAAGTGCATCATAATTGCTTTCAACTACGACATTTTCAACCACTGTTGGTTGTTGCGGAGGATTGTCTCTAAGTAAAATAGAATGCGTGAATCGAGAGTTTCGTGTCACTCCTTATGGATCAGTCAGTATTTTCAGCTCAACTAACTGCTAATTTTTCCTAGCAACTACAAGAATGTATAGAACGCCCTCAATTTTTTTCTTGAAAAGGTAATCACTCACAAAAGAGCTTCGTCAACGAAAATTTATAAGGGAATCAAATCAGTTTATGACCAAGATACAGTTTTCTGTAATTTGAAAATGTCGAGAGAATTCAAAGCTAACTTAGTTCACTGACGAACGAAATTAATTAAATTGAAAATGCTTCCAATACCATAAAAACTGCTTTGTTTGGACCATTGAGCTGTCTGTCAATTTCTGAGAGTAAGTGCAAATTTCTTCAGGCACCTTTCGCATGCACGAATTGAAATGAAAATGCACCAGTGATATCTTTTAACATAATAAGGCAAAGTAGTCTTGACATGAATTCGAACGCTCTGATTTCTTTTTTTTTGGCCGCGATGTTGCCATGTGGACGGACTCCTTGCACGAAAAAAGTCATGAGCCATTTTGTTTTGTTTTGAAAGCCACCGTATTTAAACATGTCAACATTCCAATTCTCCGCAAAGAAATTGCCTGAAAGATTGACAATTTATGAGTTTACAGTAAAGAAATAGAAAACCTCACCAAGCGAAATTCATTATCCTCAAGACCTTGTAGCAAAAGATCTTAGAAACTGAAACAGGCATACACAAAAGACAGTTTCCGCAGATAATTGTAAACACAAACACAAAATAACAAATAACAAGACGGGTACTGATGTTCCATGGAAATGGTATGCAAACAAAAGAACCAAAAGTCCACCTTTTATCCGACATTCCATGTGATCAAACGACTGGTAATTTTGTTTTAAAACTCGTTACAGCTTACTCCACCTGAGTTGCTCATACGAGTGACCGGAAGTGCATTTTGTTACAAAAAGTTAAAAAAAGCATGGCATGACTGCATATAATAAACTACTCACGACCCCAGCATGCTATCAGGCCCGTGGAGTGCGACCCCGCGGTCGTTTTTGTGGGAACCTTCCTGCGCTTGGTCAGCACTGCCGTGATCTCGGCCCAACACTCCCCTCGGATGGTAAAAGGTATGACCGATACTCAGAACCTTTCTTTTCATTTACAATTCATGTTCAATTTTCGTATCAATTTCAGGGGGAAATAGCTCAATTTGAGTTATTCAAAGGTGACTAATTTCTCACTTTTTAACACAATTTCCACGCAACGAGAATTTGGTTAATAACTGCTATGTAGCGTCGTGTTTTCGACAAACTAATTGATATACCTGTCAATTTTGAAAGCAAGAGTTTTCTTCATTTCCTTAGGGGTAATTATTGCTCGACTTATGTTATTGAGAGGATGAATAACTTCTATCAATCGTAAAATCAGGTACGCGTTAACAATTGCCTCGAACTAATTGAAACTCCGGATCAATATCAGTATCTGGGCAACTGCCCACCTACCCCTCCCCTAATTCAACTACAGTCAATTGATAACAAGTTAGGGTTAATGTTGGGTCAGGGGAGGGGTAGGTGGACAGTTGCCCAGATACTGATGTTAATCCGAAACTCCTAAGTCACTACTCCTTTGTAGGATTTGTAGTATAGCACTCAGTCGTTTTAACGTAGTTTCCAAGTAGAGAGAATTCTAGCGTTGGCTCACAGGCGGTGTCATATTTCCCGCCACCTAGGTGACATATCTACGTCTCTCGAACGACATATAAATTATCTAACATATGAAGAAAACAAACAGAGTTCAAAATTTAAAGAAATGGTATTAACTTCGTTTATAAATCACGTCACAAGTTACCTTGAAAAAAACAAGGAAATTGCTCAGATTTTCATTTGATTTTTCATAATCCATTAAAAATCAAAAACCGAAACAGACCATTTAGATTAAAAAGCGCGAACAACTTCTGTATCTCTGGCATGTGACTTATGCCGACGCTGTAATTATCAGGTGTTAATGAAAATGGAAAGTCAAGTCAAAGAGAAGCTTAATCATTCTCTTAAAACCCTCCATTGGAAATATCGTCGTAAAGTTACGGCAAACAACTTTAATTTCTTAAAGATCCCGGCAGCTGTATTCATCGAAACTAATATCTTATGTCAACAAACGACCACATTTATACTCTCTGATGAAACATCTTCAAAATTAATATTGGTTGCTGGACAAAAATTAAGCTATAACCAATAGAATCTCCTCGTAATCAGCGATAAGAAAAAAACGGTCAGCTTGTCTTTACTCGATTTTGTTCTATTTTGGCTGTTGTTGTTGTTTTCCTCTCAGGCAGATTAGCCGTAAACGGGTGACATTCACTTTTTCGGTATTCCTTATGGCGTTTGACTTAACCGATTATTAAACTCGTTTACAGCACCGGACTGCCAATCGGGAGAAGTCGTGTAACAACGTAACGCCGTTTTGTCTGTTAGGACACAAATGATTCATAAACTAAACAAAACATATTAAAAATGTAATACAGTATAAACTCATCGCACAAGGATGACACGGCCTCGGGTTGGTAAAAATTAAAACTTGAGCATATGCCTCGAGAGTTAAATTATCACCTACAAAAAGCTGATAACACTGCAACGAGCCCAACATTTTTACCGCGGAGAACAATGGAAAACTCTTCAGAAAAAGACTTCTTCATAACCATAGTGCGCGAAACTCTTAGATCATCACCAGCAGGCCTAGTTGAATTTCTTTTGGTTCTGAATATTCTTCTTTCCATCAGTGCATTTCTGAGCAATGTTCTGATCCTTTTTTCACTTCGCCAAGTGTCGTCTATTCATCCTCCAACGAAACTCTTCTTTCGATGCCTTGCAGTCACTGACTTTTGCGTTGGGCTCATTGTTCAACCACTCTATGTGTATGTAACCTACACTGCGTTTCGTGTGAAAGATATCAGAGGCGATGTTTTGTATCGTGTCTACAATATTTGTGGGATAATAAGTACGATTTTGTCTGCAGTGTCTGTCTTGACCTCGACTGCCATTAGTGTAGACAGACTCCTTATGCTGATGTTGGAAATGAGATACAGACATGTTGTAACATTGGGTCGGGTTCGCGGTGTGGTTATCGGTTTTTGGTTACTTGGTGCCTCGACTTTGCCAGTGTGGTTGTGGAGTAGAGAAAACTTCTACAGAGGATCGTCTCTTATCGTACTACTGTGTTTGATAACTTCGACTTCATGCTACGTGAAGATTCATCTAACACTCTGGAAACATCACGCTCAGATAAATGTACAAAACCACTTCCTAGAACAACCGAATGAACGTGGAGGGAGTCCGCTCAACATTGCAAGATATAAAAAAACACTGCCAGCATTTCATGGGTGCAAGTGGCCTTACTTGTCTGCTATATTCCTTATAGTATCGTAGCTGGGTCTGGAAATACCAATCAGGTTATTTGGTCGGCTACAGCAAGTCTGGTTTTCTTAAACTCGTCTCTTAACCCGATCTTGTACTGCTGGAAGATCAGAGAAGTACGACATGCCGTGAAGGACACAATCAGCCATATAAACTGTTTTTAAAAAACAGCTCTAGGCAAGGATGCTCGAAACATAAAATTTCAAAGTAGGTGTTGCGTTTAACCTAGTTGCGATTTGGTAATTTTCGACAAAATACAGACGCTACTACTAAGCCTCTGGAACTCACGAGCAGATGACTTACAAAGAAGGGTTGAGCAGTGTTTTTGATAGTGTGGCACTTCTATAAAATGCTTTTCCTGTTAATAATGCAATTTCCTACTGTAAGAGTTCTCATATAAGTTTGTTCTCTTTATAATCTTCTTGTAGCCATTGGATTGATTTTCAATGGTCGCTGCCATCGCTCGCATCAAACACAAGGGTATTCTGAGAAACTGCGATGCTTTTGGTGTTTTTTTGTTATCTCGGCTTAATCAAAGTAATTACAATATTCAATCACAGGAGAGGAAAATAAATCACAAAGAGCACGGGAGAGCGCAGAGTAAAAAATAATCAAATACTAGAAGTGCGGGAAAACGCGAGTGACCAAATCGCGAATGGTCTTAGTTTTTATTCTAATTAGTTGAGTGGATGGCGTGAGTTTTCTGGACCAATCACTGACTATTTTCGAGACTCAAATGAAAAACTTCCCTATTAGGTTCAATATCGCTAAGTACAGTGGTTCTTGTATGATCACCACGACTACCGGTCATGTTTTTTGGCGATAGTAACCAGGTTTGACTAAATGATTTTTCCGATAAAAGTCAAATAAAAGTTTCCGTAACGAAAAAAGGAAAAAATCCACTTGAAGGTGACATGGCTTACATTTTCATGATAAGACAACTGTTCAGTAAATTCATAAAAGAAATAGTAAGTAGAAAATGTTAACTAAGGTGTCCTCACAACATATTTTGACATATGGAAACATGAATTTCAAAGACGTGAATGGTGAAATGATCCACACCTAACAACAGTCCATTAATAACAAAATAGCAGGTGGACAGCAACACATAATTATAAATAAAATAATTAACTTTGACAGCTTTTGAACTGAAAGTGTTAAACAAGCGATATTTAACAACAACCATGGATACCAAATTCTTAAGATCTCTCATCTTCCCACTTCCTCCGAACGAAGTTCGAGAAAACCTTTGTTTACACTGCATGCCTTTCTGATTTTCAATTCAAGAACATATTTTTATTGCGCGATTACTTAAGAATTTCCACCGGATATGCTGCACAAAAGGAGCTGAATGATTTGACAGAGTCATTCAATTCCCAGCAGGTGTTTTTTCTCATCACTGTTCAAACAACAACCTGTCATCTTTTCTTTGCCAAACGACGGTTTTAAAATCAATACTTGTGAAATTAAGCCTTGAGTTCTTACACGATACTCACAGAAACCAGCAGTTAAAAGGTAACATTTACCGTTATTTAAACGGAATTTCGGCACATTACATACAGTCGCCCATTTGAAGGGCACCTTTGCTCGTTCTCTCACCGAGCATGCGTGATAGAATCGCATGATTTAATACCCATATAACTTGTGTTTCCTTTTTTTCCTCAAACCACACCAACAGCCAACTGATATCTCGTAGGGAAAATAAACGAATTCATGAAACATCAAGTACATAGACCCCAAAAAACCTAGATACCAAACAGTGCATCAACTAGCTTAACACTGAAATTTGGAAATTAAGATTTCACGAACAATCACCGACATCAAGAAATTCCTCGCGCCAACTAAAACTTAGGATAATCATCTAACACAATGTCGAACTCAGTTGAAGACAACAAGTTCGAAAGCGGACTAATTGAAGCGCTACAAACATTACCAAAAGGTATTGTTGATTTATTTTCAGCCTTGAATATCATTCTCGCGACTTTCGCTTTCCTGGGTAACATTCTAGTCATCATTGCTCTTTGCCGAGTATTAACCATTGCTCCATCGACGAAACTTTTTTTCCGATGCCTGGCAGTCAGTGATCTTTGTGTGGGCATCATCGTTCAACCGATTTACATCTATGCCACAATCGTTATGTCGAGTGGGAAAACAGTGACATTTTTCAAAGTTGGCGGTGTACTAAGCGCGGTTTTGTGCGGGGTATCTGTCATGACTTCAACTGCTGTAAGCGTGGACAGACTGTTAGCCCTGTACTTGGGGATAAGATACAGACATGTTGTATCATCAAAGCGAGTTCGCCTTGTTATTGTCAGTTTTTGGGCCAGTTCGATTTTATCGGCACCACTTTGGGTGTGGAAAAGAGACATTGCCTTTAAGCAAGCCTCTGTGGCGATCCTAATTTGTTTTGTGGCTTCAATAGTCTCATACGCCAAGATTCAATCGAAACTACGAAAACATCAAGGGCAAATTGAAAACCATGTTACCAGAACAATACCGAGCGGGGAAGGGAACTCATTCAATGTAGCCAAATACAAAAAGACAGTGTCTAGCATAGTGTGGGTGCAATTGGCATTAGTTTTCTGCTACCTGCCTTTTGGGGTTGTATCTGGGATTGGAATAAACAACGGAGTAGATTGGTTAGCTGCAATAACATTGCTTTACTTTAACTCATCTCTAAATCCGATCCTCTACTGCTGGAGGATAAGACAAGTGCGACATGCAGTCAAGGACATATTCAAGCAGCTGTACTGTTGTTAAACAAATGCGAGTCGATGGGCGCAAAGATAGAAACAGTGTGAAATGGAAGAGGATGGCAAAGAAGAAGATTTTATAATAGGAATAGACAAGGAAGAAGGAGGAAAGATTACTTCACATAGAGAATAGGGATAGGGAATAGGTGATGTGTACACTATTCATGATTAGAGATAAACGAAAAACGTGGCGAGGTAAATACTGTGAATATACTGTTATTTGGAACTGCTTTTGCTTCTAGAAATCTCCAGTCTGCTGAGTCAAGCTGACTTGCATACCGTAGAACTTTCCACAACATTTCATTACGTCACACATTTATTATGTAATAATACTAGAATAGTTGTTATGTAAGCTTCTGGAATGTTCCACAACATTTTGTGAATAGATCGACGAATGTTTTGAAAGTTATACCAAGAGAGAGTCACCGCGGAAGGCCGCTTATTTCGAGGAACTTTGGAGAGATTGTGTCGGTGGTGAGCTAGGATATAGAATTTGCTGGGCTTAATTAAGTTTATTAACGATAAGTATTGTACTACGTTTAAGAGTCGCTCCTTGTTTAGAACATTACTCGCTGTTCAATAAGTAGTTGATTTTGTAAGATCGTTTTTCTGTCGGTTAAATTATGCCGTAACAATACAGTATAGTTTCAAACTGAAGGCGATACACACTTCGAATGATCTCGAACTTTAGGCTGCGTCCGGTCGACTTACGACGAAGTGCAGATGTCATTCCACCCTGGATACTTTGAGTCCCCAGTATCAGGAAAATTTTGTGAACTTAACTCAAAGCAAACCGGTGAATTTGAAAGGAAATGTTTACTTTGCGATTTGACATATCGCACAGAAACTGTAATAGAGGAAAATGCAGGCAGGAGTTGCCCTTTACAACCAACCTTTGCAACACCTCGTGTCCGTTTATCCGCGCTTTGTGCGTTTTGTATATTAACCTCTCTACTTTGTTTGGTATCACATTATGGCAAGTTACTGATGCGAGTTATTCCACAAAAAATGAACGCGCTCGCCGGCCTTACGCCGGCTGTCGTTGTAATAGCAACGCTGCCAAAAATGTAAACCCGCAGAGACCGTAACGATAAACAAGTTGGGACAAATGAGAAAATGGCGAATCATTCCGACTCATGCCCAGTCGTCTCCAAAACGTCCGCGTTTCTATACTGGGGAGATAGGGGTGATGGTAAGGCGGACGAGAACCTTCTTCACCTCTCACACTTTCCCTTCCAATCATACTTTGCGCCCCCAACATGCCCGCGAAAGTTGCCACCGCTTTGAAAATTACTGGGAACGCGACACTTAATCACTTCCGGTATGTTGACGACATACTTTCCTACGGTGTAAATATTAAGACTGATTGCGAAATAATTTTGGTCATATATTGATTTCTAATCCCCGACGAGAGATGCTTGTCTCCGGTTTTTCTGCAGTATATCGTCCCCAAAATTCCAACATTTTTTCACGACTGCCAACAAGAAAATAGTACACTAAAATACAACCATGCATGAACAGTTGTGTGTGACTGATGAGCAGATACAACGGTGTAAATTCATCAACACAATATATTTCAACATCGCCAAACAAACGTCTGTAAAAAGAGTGAAAATATATCTCCTTTTGTTGCGCAAGCTTCCGTCTTTAATTATTTTTCAACTTAAAATATATTGCCATAGTTTACAATGGCGACGTTTCTTAAGATTATTTTTCTTAGTAATATAATGTTTGTTCAAACATAAAAGCATAATTAGGGGGGGCTATGTCACGAGTCACGATGTCATACCGCAAAAATGAACTTCCGACAGTCGTTAAATCTACTCTTCATAGCCGAGACGAAATGCGGTATCATAGCAGCCACGAAGTATTTTTGCACAAGAATTTGGCAGTTTTTATTGCATAAATTACTCGATAGTCATCTTTTGAAAGTTGATCTTAGGTTTCAAAAAGTTTAGCATAAGGTGATTGGTAATCACTTTCGTTTATCGTGTGTCCATTATTTAGGCAGCACGGAAAGATTCGCAGTTTTGTAAATTTGCAGTGAGCACTAACAATTGGCAAACTATACAAATTGACCTAAAATTAACTATTCCCTCGTATAGCTATTGTATAGTTCGATTTAAAAAAAAGTTCACTAAAAATCGCAACAGCTATTACAACAAACTGTCTTAGGCAAATGACATGTCCATCACCTTTCAACTAAAAAGACTTTATTAATTAAACAAAAAAAGAGGCAAAAATGTCTAAAGATTAGGTTGTCTATCAATGGCATAACGATTTAATTCTAGCCCTTAAAGCGGAAAAACTCATTTGTTCACTTCCTACGAACAATGGCAGACTCTAATATAGAGGGAAACACTACCAGAACATTCAACGATGCTATTAATGGATCTCAAGCTAAGTTGGTTGAAATTTTCGCGGGCTTGAGTATTTTTCTCGCTGTCGCTTCATCCGTCGGTAACGTTGTGATTCTCAGCGCTCTTCATCGAGTGTCGTCTATCTATCCTCCAACAAAACTATTCTTTCGATGCCTGGCAGCTACCGACCTCTGTGTTGGCCTTATAGTGCAGCCGCTCTATACAACGTCTATCATGTCTTATGCAATGGAGATGAACGAGAATGTTTCGTATTACACTGGTAAGATCTGTGCGACGTCAAGTACAATTTTGTGCGGAGTATCTTTGTTAACAACGACTGTGATAAGTGTGGACAGACTTCTTGCGCTGTTGTTGGGATTGAGATACAGAACTTTTGTAACACTTAGGCGAGCTCGCTTTGTCATAACCTGTATTTGGATTATGATGGCTACAATTGCCATGATTGGGTTGTGGAAAGCGGATGTCTTCAACAAAGTGACCTCAGTCATGACAGTGCTTTCACTGATTACTTCGATGTCCTCTTATGCAAAAATTTACCTGACCCTAAGAAAGCATCAAACTCAAATACAAAAGGACTCCACCCATGGACAACCATACGTAGTAGGATTTGCAGTGAACATAGCAAGGTACAGAAAAACAGTGTCCAGCATTTTGTGGGTGCAGCTAGCGTTACTTGCCTGCTATGCCCCTTATGGCATTGTGGCTGGAATGAAAATAAACACTTTAGCGTGCTATTTGGTTTCGTCCGCTCTAGTCCACTTAAACTCAACTCTAAACCCGATCCTGTACTGCTGGAAGATCAGAGAAGTGAGAAAAGCAGTGAAGGATACGATCCAACAGCTACACAGTTGTTAAAAAGAACACTGTGGATCGATACTTGGTTGAGATGCAAAAGTTTTGGAGGAGTGTGGTATAGAAACAGGCCCTTAGTACAATAAAAGATTAGACCATCCTCGCTGCTGCTGGGGAGCATAGGGCGCGGATCGTGGATCTCCAAAGGACTCTGTTTTCGGCTGTTCCTCAAGTGATGTTATTTTTGTTTTTTTCGTCTTGGACAGTGCGCTCCTCCAAGACTGCTTTGGACGGCCTCTTTTTCTGGAACCCAGAGGCCGTCGGATATTCAGAATCTTCCGTAAACACTTACTGATGAAGGTACTTTAGTACAATAAAACTGCTGTCAAATATGACATTCTACTCTCATGTTGACCCTTGCACAAATCAACTTCGAGTGGTAACTCAAATCCTCGAGTCTCATAACAAAAAAAACAAGGATTGCAAAAACCAAAAAAATTTACTTTCCGCTGTATGTTCTTTTGGATTGGTTTGAACATTGCCAGAAAACTTCACAAGGCTTATTGATTGCTGCGTTTTCAAGAAATGACGTTACTTTAAACCCCTTTTTCTCAAGCAGTATTCAGTCTCTTTCTTTTCGCGCAACAAAGAGCGCGCAAAAAGTCAGTAACAGTACATCAGAAAGATGAAAGGAAGTGGCTTGAAGTGTCTTCCACCCCCAATTTTCTAACACAAAAGTACGGTGTTCGTCTTGTGGATTCATTACATCGCATTCAGGCAATTGACGGTTACCATTACGTCCAAGTTATTCGGACGATGTGCTACTTGGCTCGAGAGCAATTAGATTTGTGAAAATGAACAATTCAAACAGGTCTGAAAATCAGGTGTAAAAATTTTAGGCCACTAACCTATGGAATACATCTTGTTCCCCATTGAGGTCAATTTTCTCCGCCAATTCAGGATCAACTTTCTCCTTTAACTTCTCCTCTAACTATAGAGAATGGAAAATGCATTTGAATCAAGTACTAGATGGTGTTGAAAGAATCCGAGAAGGCTTTGAGTTTACACCCTGGCCGAAAGTTGTTGCTACTGAAAGGTAAGTACTCGCTTTACACAACCGATGAGATGAAAAACCAAACTGAATCTTGGAGAAGCATAAAACACCTCAGCTCTACAAAATCTACGATACAATGCAGGTACTAGTCACCCATTTAAGACAGAAGAGCAGAGTAGTTAAGAAAGAGAGAGTGACTTTTTAAAGCTGAAAAATATTTAATGAAGATGAACCCTTAGAGTATCTGGGGATAGTCGCGGTATTATCTGAAATAGAGACAGAATTTCACCTGTTGAGTTGTTTCCAGACAATAATCAGCTGTACAAAGAATACAACAAGTCAAACTTTGCTCTTCTTTGCTGAATTTCACTTCACCAGAATCCTTCAAGATGCTAGCCAAGCCACCTGTGCTCCTAAGGAGGGAGAGCAAAGAGCATTTATTATAAGAAACACTTTTTATTATTTTTTTTAACTAAGATTACTCTTCGATCGAGTATCATAACACAAAGCAAAGGTTATAACAACAAACAAGCAGAGTAAAGGTAGATTTCACAAAGAACCAATAAGAACTGAAAAAACGAGTGACCAGATCACTAAAAGTAGCAGAGTCAGTACATCAATACTTATGCAAAGACACGTTACTTTCGACATGAAATTGCTTTATCTTTTCACGTTTGAGGTTAATTTTGAAGATTTTAAAAGCGATTGCAAGATGCTAGTAATCGGACAAGTGAATCAGCCAGTTTGAACCTACAACAGCCAATTAAACTTCAACTATTAGCTTTTCTGAATCAATCACTGAAATTCATGAATGTCTTTTTGTGTAATTGAGCCAGTTGTGCTTAAAATCAACATATAACATTTAAAAATGTTACCATTTCTGTCAATAAAATTATATACCATAATACATGTAACTCCGAATACACCTTGCTAAATGCGTTGGTCTTCCCTTTTTTCCAAAGCTACCAGACCAAAATATATCAAATAATAAAGTTTGAACTTTGACAACGCAGACCAACACTCACTTTACAGGGAGATGGTTATTGAGTACTCTGGTAGCATACTCTCTGAGAAACTTCTGGAATGCCGCAGTGAGCGAGAGCAGCGGGGGCCCGGTGCTCAGCTGTGAGCACTGTACCATGCACTTTTTGTAGAACACAAATAGTTCACCAGCGCTGGGAAATACGACATTACTTCCATCACCTTCTACCATGGGGATTCCCTGAGACTTGAAATCTTGAACAAACCTGTCCATCAATTCTGATAGGTTTCTGTTGAGGAATGAAAGTAGTGTTCAGTTCTTCTAGTCTAAAAAGTAGTCAGAATTGCATTGGTTTTGCATCTCTGCGCTTTGTAATTGGTCTAAATAAGAAAAAAAAGTTCGCACCACTTTCTTAACCAATCCGATCTAAAACCAACACCAATTACGCTTTTGTCAGGCGGCGTTTTCCCGCGCTGCTACCCAACCAGTCAGCTTGTCACGTTGAGTTCTCCTAAGCTCTGTCGATCGTTTCCTTTGTCCTAACTGCCCACTGTGATCATTTTGGCTTTGTGTTTAATAATCCTTAGTTTCAAACCCTTTATGAATGGACGACAGTTAAGACAAGGAAGGTTTCCAAGGCTTGTCCAAGCTAGTGACTAAAGATTTCCCCATACAATAATCTTAACAATCATACTTACTTGTCTTGTGATTCTATATAAATATGAAGATGTGGCTCAAAACATCTTGAGATAATTCCTAAGAACTTGGACTGTTTTGGCTGAAAGAGGAAAAAAGTACAGAATACAACATTTTTTTCAATCTTTGCATTTAGCTGCAGTCTGATTACGTGAGCACTTAATTTGTCTGAAAGGCAAACACCATGGATTCTTTAATGAAACAACAAAGAGCACATTTCAGTGATCTCCAATTGCTGGAACTGAAAAATCTCTGGCAAATTAATTCAGGGGAACAATTCTGGACACCAAGGACTTTCTGTGTTAAAACTCTGTAGGTTTTTGTTGTTGTCAAGACACAACTCACAATGATTTGCCACCAAAATAATATTCTCTAATCATTTAAAAATGATTCTCGAGGGAAAATGGTCAAAAAGGAACAAAATTAGGCAGATTTTGGAATTTTCAGCAGCTAGTTAGAGTACTTAGTTCACTGACAATTCTTGCTCCAGAATAAAGGAAAACCAGTGACAGGCTACTTGGCTAACTTAAATAAATAAATAAATTGTGTACCATCTTAGAAATTTATGAGTTGTTCAAATCTCACATCAACACCTACATAATTTTTATGTCATTTTGGAATCATGATACAAACCTTGTCTCCTTTCTCCTTTGATTCTCCTTTCTCCTAAAAAACAAAATGGAGAAGAGACTGTAAAATAGGAAAAAAAAACCTCCATAAAGTTTATTGTTGGTTCATACAATGTAAAAAAGCATTTGCAGTCAATCCCTTATCTAACACCTTTCTCTTACTCAAAGTCTCTGGGAGTAAATTCCAAGTTTCTAAAGTATGCAAACATCAGCTGATAATGTGATTATTAGTATCGTTGCTTTCGAAAATCAGTCACATCTGATTTAATTTGTGGTTTAACTTTAGACCAACTAGGCCACAGTGAATTCCTCTGGCCAAATATATCCTTGGTTAACATGCGACAAAACAACCTGCATCCTACAAACAATCTCTTCATACAAGCGTCTTGTCTTGACAAATTAAGAAAGATGATAAATTTACACTTCAAAATTAAGATATCACACATTTGTGACAGGGAAGCAAAAATGTAGCAATCACAAAGGAGAAATGAATCAAGTACAATGCATTAAACCAACAATAAAACTGTTCAACAATTTCAATGGCAGTAAATTTTGTTACCTCATAGCCATGCTGAACAAACCTCTGAGCCAATAAACTTTCAAAGGTTGTTGTTCTTTGGATGGCAAACAAAAGCAGCTTGACATCAAGTTCTTGAACTCTTGCTGTCATGATTTTTGACAAATCTTTTCTGTGGGTCAACAAAGTACATCAAAGTAAAAAACTTACTTCTTTCCAAATGTATTCACCATAGCGATAAACCACTACCATTCAAGATATCTCATTTTTTATAAATCTAACAATTTGATGAGGATATTACTATCTACTGGTAATTACACACAATTCATGGTTATCATTCTGTCACCTATAAAATATAACACTGCAGTGTAATGAATCAGTATTTTTTTTCATTAAGAGAGCTTTTGTAGCATTACCTTTATAAAGTAACACATTCCTTAAAAAATTTGGAATAAAAAATTTCATTGAGAGATGACACATTTTTAAATAAAGAACTTTTCCAAAAACGCCTATCAGTGAAAAAAAAGTACAGATTTTCTTATATCCCTAAAATAATTTTACTGTAGAGGAATAAATTAATGATACATCCACACAATTAATTTAAACTTTGGAACAATTTTCCATTGGGCATGGGAAGTAATCAAGGCTTACAATGGTCTTGCCTTACTTTGCTCTGTGGTTAGTCCATAAAACTTGCACCATCCTCCCAAAAACAAACACATTCAAAGCCAAAACCATCCTGACTTTGGTACACATGTTTGACCAGTCTGTTTACCTTTACCTCAATTCTCATGAGCTCATTTTAATATTATTTTCTTTGTATGTGATTGGCCGTATGTCTTGGTTTCAGTTTTCCAAAACTCAATTGAAATGTGCTCTATTACTAAGGGTGGGATAATGTAATGTTTGTTCAGTCATACTTGGTTGTTTTACAAAATTCTTCACTGATTCTCTCCTCCACATGCCATTCAAGTGGAAATGTCCCTTGAAAGTCTTCATCAAACTTCACAAGAGCTCTCTTCAACCAGGAATACCGGCGGTCAATTTTATCAAGCCAAGAAACCTGGGTGCAGAAACAAAAACATGAGAATAGATCAAAGGACAATTTCAGTTCAATGAGTTTTAAAGTAAATTCAAATGCAAATGAACACGTATTATAAAAATACCAAGGGCTGACTAACAAAAGTCAACATGGGATTCTCATCTTCATTATAACCCCTTCACCCCCAAGATCTGATTTTTAATTCTTCTCTCTAGCTGCTGCACATTCCTTTGTTGATTAGTTATAAAGGTTTGGTGTTATATTCAAGATAACAAATGTACCTGATAATTTTAAGTATTCTCATACCCTGCTTAATAATGTATGACTATTATCGAGAGAAGTTACATGCTAATCACTCCTGGAAGTTACCAAAATAAAAACCTAAGGCTGCTACTATGTACCTCAAATGACTCATTGAAAAGTTGTTGATACTCTGCTAACTGGAGTTTGACAAACCAGGAGAGCAACTCATTCCTGTGAAGTGATTAATAATAAAGTCAATCAGATGTCACAATATGATCAATAGTTAACTAGGAGTATCAAAATATCTAGAAACAAAAATGGCAGCTACCTTGTAAGTTTTCACCAAAACTCTGCTCACTTAAATAAGCATTTGTTTTCTTTTCACATAATGTATGAAGGTAATGATCAGTGTTTAATTTTTTAAAACAACAAAACTTCTGATTCTGCACTCATCTGCAGACAGGCAATCATAAAGAACTCCTTCTTTATTTTTTTCTATTTAACTGTTCAATTTTTTATTTCAATTTCATTTTTTAAATTTTGCCAACAAGAAAAATTAAATGATTTTTCATCAGAAATTTTTTCAATTAATAATGGTAATAGGACTTTGTGGTGTCCAATTTGGTCTGTAATCACAAGAGTGTTTAAAAAAATCAAACAACCACAAAACTGGAGTTCGATTTGTTAATATTATGAGTATGATTATACTGACAGAACTGGGCAACACCAAGTCCTATTACCAATCAATCAAAACTTTGACAAAATTTGAGGAAGAAACTAGACATTGGTAACACATTTTCATAAAAAAACAACAACAGTTAACTCAGCAAAATGCCTGACAGCAGAGTGCGTACATGACATGTACTGTCCACTTACAAAGGCATGACATGTTTTCTGTCCTATTACACTGTCTACTTACAAGCATGGTGCATTCACTGTCCTATTAGCGTTCAAATTGAGCTGGTGAACATTCTAAAATTTTGTTAGAGTTTTGATTATATTTAAAAAAAAAAGGCCACTTACTTTACTTTAGGATCCAACACATTTACCACTTGACAAGCCTCAGCTAATTGTGAATTAGGTCCTGATGGCGGCTGCCGACAATTACAATTGAAAAATTTGTTCAGGTTTACTAAAATGCTTATCAACTATAGCAGTTACTTATTAATGCAGTACAAGTACCACACCAGTATCTGCCTGGTTTGGTTCCAATGCCCATCAAAAACTGAATTTTTTGACTACAGACTTGTTCATAACTTTAATAACACTAGACGTGTGAAGTTCTAATTGTCCCTTGGTCAATTTGTCATACCTGTTTTAATTTATAAATGTTACTGATGCCACATGTATACGAAGAAGTTACTAGGAATAACCACTTGTGAGAATTAAAAGCAGTAATGATACATTTTTGACATAGAAAGGGAATGGAACAAAATTCTGATGTTACACATTACTGAAAAGTTAATAAACATACCTTAATCCCTTTCACAGATAAGACCTCTTCAAAATCTGCCAATATCTGAGTACCAAGTTCACTTTGTATTTTTTTCACCCTAGCATTTACAAGTTACACAATTAGAAAGATCACAAAAGGTCCACAAACCCATTATTTGCCATGGGAGTTTGATGCATTGATAATACGATTGAGTATGCATTGACAGATATGTTGTAACCCTAAACAAATGTCTGGTCAAAATAATACAGTATTTTTTCCTGTCTGATTCAAAATTATTCTTTTGTTTCATTACCAAATTACCTTGGTCCCTAAACAAAGAAAAATAATGTTAAATGAAACTATTTTGCAATCAATTCAGCCTGGAAACACTTTAAACTAAAACACATAACATGTAACAGTGAGTTTGAATTTAATTCAGGTCAAAATAATTTCATACTACAGGATTTCCTTCATTTAAGGATTATGATGATGTACCTATTGCAACAGGGGAATCACATCAAAACAGTTTAAATTAAAATAAATGATCTGAAATTCATACTATAATTATTAGATAGTAAGCTGAATTATAGACGCATTTTGAATAGTTTTACTTAAGATTCATTATGAGGACAGATGCATATATGAGACCACCATTCACGACATTTTGCTTTTTCATAATATATTAAAAGTAAATTCTATGTTGAGAAAATGCAATCTCTCAAGGTACTTGCAACCAACCATCTGTAGCAGCGTTCTCTCTTTGTCTCTCACTTACTTGTCTGCCAGTTCCCGTATTTGTGCAATCCCAAAGTACTTTTTGAAATGTTCCAAAACATTGACAACTCCTTGTAACAGATTGGCTACCTCTCCATACTGTCTCTTTCTGGTCAAAGTCCTAGGATATAAAAAACTACTATAAACTTCCTCTTCCAACTTAATAATGTCACATGGACCTTACAGTATACATCATCCAAACTAAACAAGGTTGTAGATTTTCTGAAGTTATAAAGGCTTTCCTGCACAAGCCTTGTTTCCATGCTGAACTCCATATATCAGAATTTTTAACCCACATAAATCTTGGCTTGGTAAGTTGCTAAATTGCTAAATTTCCACCTTGACCCTTAAACTCCCATGAGTGACCAAGACAGAATTTCTCCTTTCAAGAACTATACAATATCAAGCAGACAAGCAGTAAGAACTGAAAAAAATATCAATAAGGGGAGTACCAGTTGATCCAATAATAAATTCTCTGAAGAAACATCATAACAATATTGTATAGTAGACAGCAGTACAAATTTCTAAAGGGTTTGGTTTTTATTTCATTAATGTCCTGCTGAACATTTCTTTACAAGGAACCTTCTCCCTGAAATAGATGTAAATTCTCTCTTGACCTGCTGACACAGACACAGGAAGCTGTATGCAGAACTGAAAGTGTTAAATCTTTGCAGCATTTTATTTTTGGGATTGAGGACAATCTGTCAAATCTGGAAAACTTGAGATGATAGAAAGTATTCCAAGAGGAACCAACCAGCTACTGACAAATTATATCCTGTGTAAGTTTGATCAAATCAAATTAACTTACACAAGAGAGTCAACTCCACCAACAAGCATATGGAGATGATTAAGAGTGGTAATGGAGCTTGTCAAATGTCGCTTTGCATGATCTAGCTGCTTGATATCTCTTGTGATTTCTTTCACCTAAAAAACAGTCATTTTATGGCAAAGTTGTAGCTATGTACATTTTTAAAGTATCATCAATGATAGCATTCAGGGATAGGAACATGAACACAAAGACAATGAAATACAAATTTATAATGCCAAGTTTGGTTTTTGCTTTAGTTAAACGACATTGACACACCGAGCAAAACAGCCTTTTATGCAGTTTCAATTTTTAGATATCCTTCTAGTAACTTGACAGATATTAAATTTTAAATGTATTGTTAGTTTTAATATAATGTAATCATATTTGTATTTTGATACAAGGCTCCTATGAATACCAGCCTTTGAGCTGAATGGGCTACCCTGTCTAAATAAAGTTTTACTTGCTTACTAACTTGGAAATTTAGGTTGTGATAGATACAACAAAGGATAAGATACCATACTAACAAAATTAACATCAGTCTCTCTTCTTTTGATTCTTTAATAAGACTCTTGTACAATTAAATAGTAAAACACCAACATAGAGTAAATACTGCAGCTGTTCTTCAAACAGAACAACCAATTCTCCTAAATTCTTTACCCTACACTTGTTACACATATTTGTCTCTAACTGAACCAAATAGTACTCACACAAGAGTACAATACAAAGACTTGGCTGGCAAAGTGGAAATCACTCCATTTGGCACTACAATGTATAATATGATATGCAGGGGCGGAGGGGGAGGTGGAGGAAGATAATGATCAGCTCACCATTTGTTCTGATTTATCAGCTTTTTCTTTGATGTCGATTATTTTTGCAAACAACTGTTGAATTGCTTGTTGAGCTTCATCAAGTGCCTGGTATAAGAAAAAAAATATCCTGTCAAAGGTTGCTGAACAAGTAATTAAGGGGTGTGAGTTATGTCATGCAATTAAAAATGTGGTTGGCATTTTGAACGGCTTCGGTGACTGATATGCATAATTCGAGTAAATTGGCAGCTTTATTGTCAAAAAGAGGACTCCAAATCCAAGCAAGTAAAAAGTTGAAAAATTTGTGGAGCGGTTTCAATTCATCTTCCAATACCTTATTGCTACTTTATTTTCACAGGACTTAATTTTTGCAGTTGTCAAAATCATGACATTAAAGACCCACGTAAAAGGTTTTCGCAAAAAATTAATCATACAAAGTTTGCTCCCTGCTGTTTGTTTCTTTAACCAATGTCAATATCAGTTTATTACATCATCATCTTGTCCATGTCTTTTTTAAATTTCAATTTCAGCTTCTAAATCCTTCCTCTAAATCAAACTCAACATCTTGCTGCAGTTCTTGTAAGATACACCATGCCTAGTTTTCAAACAATCCTTTCCTATCAGTATAATAATAATGATACGGTTTTGTTCACTGCCATTGGAAATTATTGTTATGGAAAATTCATATCCATTGTGGTCATTTTGAGACTACCTGTCTGTTAATGCAGATCAGTGTTTTGACAATTTTCACACAATTTAGTTCCTTTTAAGACACATTCGTAGCCAAATCGCAAATACAAATTGCCACAAAACATGTTCATTCCATTTTTGCCAAGTTAAGTTCCCACAAAAATATGTAACAGTAAAGGACACATATTAATTTGTGGAAATCACTCAGCTGTAAGCAAATTGTGTTCTCTAATAATTATCATATGCAAGGACAAAACATTCTGAACTACTCTGACGATCTTCCACATGTAATTTTCATGAAGTCAACTAAATGACTTTATGCCACCAATCACATGGCATAATTGATGATCATTTCGCTTTCTTTCGCATTTGTACCTTTTAAAGGATGGTTGATTTACACAGCATCAGTAGCATAAAGAAATGGGTGTACTCTTTTGATAATGCAAAGCTTTACTCAGTGATACCTCATTCTCATCTGTGATAAGAGACCTTAAGCAAATCAACGACAACAGCACCAAGGATGTGGCAAAAGAAAAGATCTTGCGAGCACAACAATAGCTTAGCATTTGCATTTTAAAATTTTTATATTTACCAGCTGTCCTCTACAAAACAATTATAATACAAAATTTACACTGTCTGAGAACGGAAGCCCCAGACCGCAAATTATTTAAAATTCCATTTTGAAAAAAAGAGGTGTAGTGATGTACGAGACAGCAAATATGTCTAGCCATTTGCGAAATTCTAACTACATGTAAAAATATAAATTCATCTCCTTGATCAACATCTTCCTTGATGTTGCTCTCCCAGCTGCTTAAAGTCCCTATTACCTACATGGGATATCCATAAGGTAAAAAAAAAAAAGCTCTTCCATAGCAAGCCAAAGGCAAATTATTCACAAACTGTTTTACATAACCTCCCAGCCTCTCAGGTGTGTAACAAAAGAGGTATATAACTACAAAGATTCTATTCCTTTAACTCTCTCTTTGTGATCAAGTCTTTCATTCTCATGAGCCTAATGTTTGGTTCAGATGTGAGCCCTCAGTGAAAACTTAGACCCTAGTCACTTTGTTACCATGTAACACCTACAAGGGTTGGTAAATTTACAAAATATGGCACTGCTCAAATGTACGAGGAAGGTGCTTTAAATTCAATCCTTTATTTTCAATATTTGGTTCTGAAGAGCTTGGAGGATGAAGGCTAAGTCTAGTTTTGAGGCATTAAAAAACATTTGAGAAATTGTTAGGCGAATTCAGAGAAACTTTCAAGTCAATAAGCAACTTTGAATTGACTGGTACATATACCATTTACCAACACAATTCAAACCAATCAGATCATATAAGGAATCTTGGTTGATTAATATCATCTGTAGATCTAAATATTACTGTTTCTTACTTGTCTTCCTTCATGGCCAATGTTAGTCTGTCCTCGGACAACTGTTCTAATTTCTTCATCAAGACCCCTGATAATCACAAACTCATATTCATAAACTTAACGATTACAGAAGACAAAATCATTACATTAACTCTCTATACACAAGAACATTGTGAATAGCATTAGCATTCCAAGTTGCAACAAGTTTGGTTGACCCCTTCACAAGGAGAAACAAACAGTGGCCGCCAAATTTCCGATGCAAGTCACCAATTTTGCAACTTGTGACTGGCAGCTATGTAGAAATTCACTCATTCAAGGGTGTGAAAGGGTTAGATGGTATGTATCTTATTGAATCCAATCCAATCAACAACCCACATCAATCAATAAAATTTCAGAGTCGTGTTCCTTAAACCAAACCAAATCCACAACAATACAAAATATAAGAAAGTTTGTGCAGCATTTGCAAATAATAAACATTCAAAAGTACCCTGAGCTTTTCATGTGGCCCTACCTGATTCTTAGTCTCATCTTATTAACAACATCATCTATATTGGCAAGGGACTAGAATGAAAAATAAAATTAATACTACACAAAACTTGATTAACACTACATGTATACCCTTTTTCAGAAACAAATTTTGAGGACATTTCCAGCACTTCCAAGAATCCAAATTTCACCTTAAACCCTTTCATTGCCAAGATTTTGAAATAAATTCTCCAAACAGTCTACATACATTTCATGTGATGTAAATTCTGAAAACATAATTGCTTGATTGCTTTCCAAAACCCTTTGTCTTTTTCCAGGACTTTCCAGATTTACCTGGACCTTTATGAACTATAAAGAATCATCACTATTAATAAAAGAAACTACACTGAACATCTATCTAGGATGTTAAAGACAGCAATAACAAACCTGTTCAGTTGGAAAAACTGAGTTTATATAATCGACTGGGTTAAAATCTTTACTGTCAAGGGGATCATCACTCTTAAACACCTAACCAAAAAAGAGACAGAAAATCTAAGTAATAATGGTAATTGAACTGAGTGGAGTACAATTTGGGCTGAAATCATATGTGTGATTTGAAAATTGAACGAGCATGCAGCGTGAGTTTGATTTGAAATCACAAGTATGATTTCAGACCAAAATTGCACGACACAAGGTTCAATTACCACTTTATTACATCCATTTTGAAATCGCCAAAATACAGGAATTGGTTAGTTCAAATATTTTATTGATGCAGTACTAAGCTGGTTTGAAATTAAATTCATCCATTTTTTTGGGGAAAAAAAATAAGAGTTTGGAAACAATAAATGCAAAATTTGCCACATGATACTTGTTGTTTTTCATTTTCCTGCAATTTGATTGGTTACTTTAAACAAGTCTTGAAATCTGATTGATTGTTTTGTTTTTAGTGTAGCCTCCTCATTGGCTGGGAAAAAGATGCAATTTAAAGCAAAAAATGGTGCGATTCACAAATAAATCGCACCAATTAGAGCCAATCAGATTACAGGGGCCACCAGTGATTTCAAAATGGGTGTAATAAAGACTGTTATCATTTTCATATATTCATACAAAAAATGTCCACTGCTTCACTCCTATTATCAGCATCATTTTTATTATTATCATTATTATTATTATTATTATTATTATTATTATTATTATCAATAGTATCAACAATTGGTTTATACATCAGTATAAGTTTATGGGGATATAAAGCATGCAGAACATTTTGAGAGCATGAGAGGAGTGAAAGAGTTGCTTGAGGTGCAGGAAGTAGACTGTTACACAGGTAAACCAATAAAAATTATGGTGTATTGCTTTTATAAAGAAAAATTCAATTCTTAATGGGTTTCCCATTGTAAAAATGATAAGTTTTTGGCCAAAAGCCTAGACACTTGTTGTATCTAACTTATTTCATAACACCTCAAAATACTTTTCAAGAAATAATGGCAATAGGACCAAGTGGAGTCTAATTCAGTCTATAATCATACCAGTGATTACAAATTGGATGAAGTGAAGTCCAGTTACCAAGTAACCATAACCAGTAAAATTTTAAAAAAAACACATTTATTTAAGAAAATATCTCCAGTAAAGCCATGATCTAAAGTAAGAAATTCCTCAATTTTCTAAATTCCCTGTCCTTTTAGGATAAGTGATTGTTGCTATGGTTCTTGCTATCAATTTTGTGATTGGTGGATTTGACTAAATGGACTTGGTATGATTGGCTGCCTTTATTGTCCGATCACAGGTGTACAATTACAGCCAACTGTCAGATCACATTGTCCAATTACAAATCTACAGAATAATTAATGAAAAATAAAGCGCTTTTGCACCAATAACATTTGGGAAAATTGTAATAATTATGATCAAATGAGTAATATCAATCTTCCAGAAAAAAATTTACACCTTTCATGTCCAAATGCAAATGCTAACTGTGTACCGCCCATTTTGATAAATGTTTCATGTTTCATACCAAAACACTTATTGACAAAATCTTTGTTTTATATTCTTTGTTAAGTCTATAGTTCCTAGCTTGCAGTTCATGACAAAAACTGATTATGCATGTAAAAAATTGAAGAGCTAGCTCATGTAAAACAGCATTTATTGTGTAACTTGGTAGCTTCTCAACCCTTTAATACACAAGATCTGTTTGTTAATTCCCCCTCTTGTTCCTGAAGGTTTCCTTTAAAATTAGTAATGAGAATTTGGTGTGAGGTCAAGATAACAAACTTCTACCTGATAATTTTGTGTATTCTCATAACCTGTTTGCTGTAAAATGTATGAATATCATAGGGAGAAGTTACATGCTGATCACTTCTGAGAGTTAAAGGGCAAGAGCACTTTTAAGTAAATTATTTTTGAAACAAACAAGTAAACTCAAGCAAGATGTCTGTAAAAGGAAACAAGCTGGGGTACAATCTTCCTGAAAATTCACCATAATTTCATTAGCGAGTCACCCTGGTCTGCAAATGTTCTACATTTTTTTAAAATAAATATATATTGATTTACAGCCAGATTTTGTCCTGACTATAATGAGATTTTCATCGAAAAGTCTCTTTGCTAAAAATACCAAATTTCATTTGATAAGAGGACTTGCAAATAGGAAACCTTCCAATGTAAATATGGCTCAGTTAATCCTATTCCTTGATAGAAATTCCCTCTATACGTACACTTGCCACGTCTTTAAAATAGTAATTTCAGGTATTACAATAAGGAAGTCTGCACTCAAGATATGGGTGTACCTGACATAAATACCCCTAATTACAACAGAAATACCTGCGAAATAGCTTCTTCCACTTCGGGTGAGTAAGTGATGGGTTTCGACAGCCTTTCTTCGAGAAAATCCTCTTCGAGCTCCCCTGGCGAAGAAGCGCTGACCTCGGCCGCCATTTTAGACGGAAATCGTCGTTAACGGCGGAAGCCGCTGAACTGTCAACACTTGGCTCGGTTACAAAGGCTTTGGCATTCGTTGTGTACTATCGCAAACGCTTTGTCCCCGCAACAACAGAGCGTTCTCCTTGTCAGTCCTGGATGTTGTCAAGCAAGTAATGTAGAAGGTAGGTCCAGATCATCTAGCTTCGTTTGCCTTGTGGTAGATAAGCTAGATGGCAATCCAACGCCTTTTTGCGTTACCTAATTGTTGAGATCTTCCGATTTTCGAAATGCGACATGTCACCAGGGAATGTCTGGTTGAAAACACTTTAGCAATGTTTTTTTTGGCGCACATGTGGATTATTTCCTGGTTCCCTAAGCTAGGATTTGCGTCTCCAAAGGGTTTTGGCACACAAGCATGCCATCACCTCTATGTCTCCAAAACTCACTTTTCCTCTGCCCGTCTAGAGTGTCTACAATTGATGTTCGTGTGGAGTTTTTGAATCCAGACATGCTTCGTCTGGGCCGGTGTCATTTATGCACTTCGTTTTTTTATTGCTATTTTTATCCTTGCTATTTTGTAAACCGTCCTCCTGAATGTTGTAAACAGAAATTCAACTTTTTCCTTAGGCTGAGAGCAGCAGAAATTCCCAATTCATTACACATGGGAATTTGTGTTCGAAGACATTATTCACACGAATAAGACAATTCATTAGCAAGGACACAATATATGAATAAATTTCTCAGACGCTAAAATTATACATGCATTGGCCATCCATGAGTGCTTTGTACTCACAAAGGCCGTTAACACGAGGCGAACCGTCTCTGAAAAAGTTGACAGCAATAATTCCTTTTAATAAAACAGGAAATTTATTGTTACATTGGACACAAGGTGAATTCGCCATCTTGTGGCTGTTATCAATTTCGTGTAGACGTTTCTTTGTCTCTTCTTTTGCCTTCAATGCATAGGTCGGCGCTCGTGGGCAATAAAGTTCTGGGTCAGTGCCATTCGCGTCGAAGTTCTTAGCTCCTAATATTGCACTGCACATGTAAAACTGAGCTTTAACGGTTTTCTTTCACCTTTTTTCAATTTTATTATTTATTTATGTGTTTGTTTTTTTTTATTTGAAGTAAGACCATTTATGAATTCTCCGTACGTGTAACGCGGATGACTGCTAAGGCGGAATGTCTAAAGTCCGAATCATCCTATGTTTTCTCTCAAGGTTTTATTGTCCTAATTTTTGCCTTCTTGTCCCCAACTTGTGACCAAACATGAGGTGGTGTTCCAAAAAAGGTTCACGCTACTGATTTCCTTCTAAAAAACAGCAATGTTGCTGTCGTATTGATTTCAGACATACAGTGATTTAGCCATCTTGTGGTTGTTCTCAATTACATGTATGTCTTTGTCTGCCTCTTCCTTTGACTTCAATGCTTTTCTTGTCACTTTTGCCCAACGAACTTCTGGGTCCTTGTTATTAGTATTGAAGTTCTCAATTTTGAAAACTGCATTGCACATATGAAACTTAGTATTGGCCATTTTCTTTGAAATTTTCACTATTTTTGTATATTTGATATGTATTTATGTATGTATTTGAAATAAGATCTTCTACGCATTCTCTGTACGTGTAACTCGCATGGCTGTGAAAAGGGGTTGTCTAAGGTTCGAATTGTCTCGGTGAGCTCAATTTTTTTTTATATTTACTTACCACCTTGTGACTTGTCACAAAGCAAACAGTATCAAAACAAGTTTTTCTCACTGATTTCCTTTTGAAAAAACAGTGATTTTGTCGTTATATTGATTTTAGACTTACAGAGATCTAGCAATCTTGTAGTTATTATCAATTGCGTGTTCCATGTCTTTGTCTGTCTCCTTTCGCCTGCCATGCTTTAAATTTGACATGTGTGCTAGAAAGGCAAAACTCAAAATCAACTATTTTTGTTCAACTTTCCTTTTTGTTGTCATCTTTTTGTGTTTATTTGTATGTTCGAAATGAGACCATCTTTGAATTCTCTGTACATTTAACTCGGTAGACTGCAAATGCGGAATGCCCATGATTTGAGTTGTTGTGGTGGTTTCTCAATTTATATTCTGCATCCAACCGCGTAGTGACTAAACATGAGGCAAATTGTGTTCAGATAAGTTTATGAAACTGATTTCTCTTCAGGAAAGAGTAAATTTCTTGTTATATTGGTTCTAGACATACAGTGATTTGGCCATCTTGTGGTTCTTATCAATAACATATATATGTCTTTGTCTGGTCTTGTTTTGAATGCAATGCTCTACTTGCGTCTAAAATACAGCAAAGTTTTGGGGCGCTGTTATGAACCTTGAAGTTTCTTATTTTAAAAACTGCTTCATACACGTTAAATGTAGGATTAACTGTTTCCTCCCAACTTTTCATCACTATCATATACCACTATTTAATATGTATTTATGTATATATTTGAAATAAGATCATATACGCATTTTATACATATATAACCAGGATGGCTGTAAAACCAGTTTACCCAAGGTTTGAATCGCCATGGTGAGTTCAATTTTTTTATATTGTATTTTTCCACCAACTTGTGACTAAACACAAAGTAAACACTCCCAAGAATAGTTTAATTTGTCACAGACTTTTAAAAAAAAAAAAAAAACAGCGATTTTGCCATTATATTGATTTAAGACCCACAGGGATTAAGCCATCCTGTCGTTATTATCAATTGCGTGTATGCGCCTTTGTTAGTCTCTTCGTGCGCCCACCATGCTTTAGGTATATTTTTCAGTTGTGGGCGACAAAGTTAAAACTTGAACTAAACCAACATGTTGTAACTTTTTCATTTTTTATGAACTATTTATGTGTTCATTTAATAATTCCAAGAAGATCATATATGAATTCTCTGTACATTTATCTTGGTTGATTGCGAATGCGGAATGTCCAAGATTATTATTATAGCTGTCATGGTGATTTGTCAACTTTTTTTTCTATTTGTCTGCTACCTTGGGCCTAAACATAAGGCAAATTGTCCTAAGAAGGACTTAGGGAACTTATTTTTCTTTAGGAAAGAGAGATTTTGTAGTTATATTGGTTCTAGACATGCAGGGATGTGGCCATCTTGTGGTTGTTACACGATAGTGAATATGTGTCTTTGTCTGTGTCATCTTTTGATTGCAATGCTTTATATGCCGCTTGTGCATAACAAAGTTGAGGGCGGTGTCTACATATGTATAACATTGAATTCTTCGTCACGAAAAGCACATAGTTCATGAAGAACTTAAAATCAACCATTTCCCTTCGCTGTAAGATAAGGCGCATATTTTTTTTATTTAATGTAAGATTATGTGTTTGGTTTTTTCAATTGTCGCTGGGGTTACATGAAATAGAAATGTTGCGGGTTTTTATTCTGGCAGGGGACTCAGATATTATCCAATATTTGATTCAAAATTGTAACTTGTGTTAAACGTATTTCTTTGAAAACTACAAAATTTGCATATTATTTAATCACAGGGGTACTTATTGTGTTCCTCAGTCTTCAAAGACTGTGCGCCAACAAGGTGGCACCCTGTTTCCTATTTATGGTCATCTCCATTATGTATCTTGACATCTTTTAACTGGTGCTTTAGTTGGCCCCCTGTTTTGTGTTTCCCAGATGATGTACGTGTAAGAAGTATCTTAAAGGAAAACTTTAATGGGTTAATGAATAAAAAATGAAATAAATTATTCAGGTTTTGAATGTTTTTGTTTTTTTTCCTAATCTGTGTCTGAATAAGGAGCATGTGTGAAGGGTGCAGTTTGTTTAAAACAAATGTTTTTCCTTTGATGCTTTATATTTGGTCTGTGCGCTTCTAAGGCAAATTTGAAATTGACCATTTTGGTTCAACTTTCATTATTATTATCCTCATTTTATATGTGTTGATTAAAGTGTTTGAAACAAGATCATTCACGAATTCTTTGTACAGTACAATAACTTTTGAGTTTTGGTGGTAGTTTGTCAGTTTATATTCTGTGTACAACAGCCTTGTGACTTAATATGAGGCAAATTGTCCTCAGATGATTGTATGAAACTGATCTCCTTTTAGAAAAGAGTAGGTTTCTTGTTATATTGGTTCCAGACACACAGTGATTTGGCCATCTTGTGGTTGTTACGCAGTAGTATATATATGTCTTTGTCTGGTCTTGTTTTGAATGCAATGATCTATTTGCGGCTACATGTACTATGCTGGAATATTCTGGGGTGGTGTTTGGAACCTTGAAGTTTGTAATTTGAAAATTACTTTGAACATGTTAAAGATGGGATTAACTGTAGTTTCCTCTCAACTTTTTCATCATTATTGTAGTTTATACTGGTATTAAATATGTATTTATGTACATATTGAAATAAGATCATGTGTGCCTTCTTTGTATATGTAACAAGGATGGCTGTAAAACCAGTTTGTCGAACGTTAGAATTGCCATGGTGAGTTCAATTCTTGGTGTTCAATTCGCCACTACCTCTAGACTAGACACCAAACAGTCCCCAAAATTGTTTAGGTTGCTGATTTTGTGAAAAAAAATTCAGCAATTTTGCTATTATATTGATTCAATTAAGACCCACAGGAATTAAGCCATCCTGTTGTTATTATCGATTGCATGTATGCGCCATTGTTAGTCTCCTCTTTTGCCCACAATGCTTTACATGTATTTTTCAGTAGTGGGCGACAAAGGTAAAACTTGACACAAACCACTGTGTTCTAGCTTTTTCATTTTTTATCAACTATTTATGTGGTTTTTTCTTATTTCAAAGCAAGATCATTTATGAATTCTCTGCACATTTAACTTGATTCTCTGTGAATGCAGAAGTTCAAGATTATAGCTGTCATGTGATTTGTCATTTTTTAACTATTTGTCTGCCTCATTGTGTCCAAAATGATGGAAATTGTCTGGCAAAGATTTATGTTATACTTACTGATTTCTGTCTAGAAAGGAGAAATTTTGTTATATTGCTTATAGACACATTGATGTGGCCATCTTGTGATTGTTGATTGTTATGTTATAGCTTTTATGTTTCTATCTGTGTCTACTTTTGATTGGCATGCTCTTTATGCTGCTTCTACATAACAAAGTCCTAGGGCAGTGTCTTAAATATCAAGTTCATGGTCACGAAAAGTGTATAGCTCATGAAGAACATAAAATCAACCATTTCTTTTCACCATTTTCAATATTATGCACTTATTTTTGATTTATTCTAAGATTACTTGTAAATTTTTTGTATTTGTAGATCAGGTGACTTGAAATCAGAATGTTGGCAGTTTGAGTGGTCACAGGAGGCTCAGATATTATCCGATATTTGTCTCCAACTCATGACTTTTGTTTAACATCTTTCTTTGAAAACTACCAAATTTGCATATCAATTAATCACAAGGGTACTTATTTTAATCTCCTGCCTTCAAAGACTGGGTGCCGACAAGGTGACACCCTTTTTCTGTTTATGGTCATCTTTCTCAATAACATCTTTCAGTAAATGCTTTTAAGCTAGCTTGGCATAACCCCCCTGTTGTTGTATCATTTAGGTGATCTAGGCGCAAGAAATATCTTGATGCGAAACATAACAGCGTAAATGGATTCATTATTCAGATTTTAAATTTGTTTTCATTTTTCCTCTATCTGTGTCTGAATAAAAAGCATTGGAAAGCATGCATGGAAGGTGCAGCTTGCTTTAAAAGAAGCACTTTGTTTTTCTGTTCAGCTATGCGGAGACCACATTAGCCGTAAATGTAAAGCTCAAGGTTGATGAATCAATCATAACTATTAGTACATGGGTTTTGGTAAAATTTGTCATTCCAGAGGCATCTTAAGTTAGGTGAGGTTTGAGACAAAATATAGGTTGAAGTGTAAATCAATCGGTGGTAAGCTTTCAGCTGCAAATTATTGGAGTCAGAAGCATTTATCAAAGAAAAACCTTGCAAACACATAGGGACAAAAATCTGATGTCTGACTTTATCGAATTCTACTATTCTGTTATCCCAGGGCTCAAAATTAGCACTCGCAAACTTGCGAAATGCAAGTGGTTTTTTCGAAGTTGCGAGTCTAAAAAATATCCTCTAGCAAACATTTGCTAGTTAGGTTCCTTCTTTTGCTAGTAAAAAAAATCTTACTAGCAAAACTTTGCTAGTAGACAAAAAAGTTAAGTTCGAGCCCTGTTATCCTCAATTTTTCTTATAAGTTAGCGTGTATATATTGTTAAAATGATAATATTTCAACCAATGCCAACAAATTTTAGATGAGAGTCAGTCTAAAACAAATGCTAAGCTAGAATTTAAAAATATATATATTTTTTTGTTTCCCCATTAAGCGGTTTTCACAGGTACAAATTCAAGATTTATTAACGAAATAAATTCTAGGGAAAAGATATTCTTAAAGATATTTTTAACCCTTTAACTCCCAAGATCTCATTAGTGATTCTCCTTACTGTCTGGCATACAGTTTTTGTGATGTTAGTTTGGAGAATTTAGTATTAGATCAACTTATAATCCCCTAATTGATATTTTTCTTTATCCTCATCACTTGTCTGCTCGATATTATATTGATATTGTAAGGAGAAATTCTGTCTTGGTCACTCATGGGACTTAAAGGGCTAAGCAGGGTATCAGGGATACATAGGTATTTAAGGACAAGGGAATCTGAGCAATCAGTTTTAATTGATATCAATGTTGTCTTATAATTAACCCTTTAAATCCTTACATCAGTATGCATATTCTCCATACTGTTGTGTATACATTTCCTTGAGTTCTATCAAGGAGAATTTGTTTATTAGTGTAACAAACAAGAGCTTCTTTTGTTGGTGACCATTTCCTTTATTCTTGTGACATTTATGTTTGATTCAGGAGTGACATTGTAAGGAGAATTTAGTTGTTAGACACTTTTAGGGGTTAAAGGGTCAAACGTAGTCCATCCTTTGTATGTGGCAATAAGGAGTGTTGGTAGTTCTGCATCCTCTTCTGTAGATGGGGTGTTAGTCCATGGTAAATTACCACTGTAAGGCTTCTTGACAAATTGCCACAATCCTCTCAAACTCCTGAGTAGGGAGAGGCAATGTGAGTGTCAAGTGTCTTGCCCAGGGCAGGTTTGTTCAAAGCTGGGTTAAGATAACCCAGGGTTAGTGTGAAATTTGATTTCAGATCTGAAAGCTTTAATCCCATTTTTCTACAATTTGATAAATGAATGCTCTTAAAAGGATTGGGAAAATTATCCAAGAAGGTCTTTTGAACAGAGAAATATAGAAACCTGGATTAAAATTTAACCCTGGGTTAGCTCTGATTGGCCTTTGAACTACTAGGTCCTGTTACTCAACACAATGATGCAGCCAAGTTCCCAACGTAGGGGTCTGTCACAGGCTAATGCCTAAAACATCAGCATTAGAAACTCTCTCTGGGGGCCAATTTACTTTATCAACTTAGTTGTTAAAACTAAATTACCTTGTAAAACCCCTGCTGACAAAGCACCACCATTTTCTTGAGAAACTCACCCCATTCTGTCAAAGAAGAGTCCAACCAGCTTAAAAAACCTTTGGCCACTGTGTTGAAGTAATAATACTTACTTTTTTTCTACTCTCTTTCTTTCCAAGATGGATTACCGGGAGTGTAATTTTGGACCCTCATGCACCTGTGATCATAGGCCAACCCTGGTTCATGGTACATCGCCTAATTTTTCACCACCAAATGTCAGAGGGAGTGAGCCATTGTCTCTCACATCGCCTTCATGCACGAAGAAGGAACATATTGACAACAATTTGAGAAAAAAATCAAGAGGTGAAGGTTTGTAAAGAGCCTTTACTGAAATCTAAGAACTATGATTACGACTCAAATAATCAGAAATATTTGAAGAATAATTTGAAATATTTTTAGCGTAGGTGCCTTGCATATATGTCCAATTTTGGGCTCCTCTTATTATTATGATTATTAATAGTGATTTTAGTGATAATGTTGTTATTATTGCGATTTTAGCAGCATTTTCCTCATGCTTTGCATAGGAAAATAAAACAATTTTTTGCTCTTTTTGCAGTAAAGAGATTTCTCACTACTAGGGCTATTTTTTCTTCCACTTAATGTCACAATAAATAAGCAGACAATTGTAGGAAATGGTACAACAGAAATGTTTAACTGTCTTTCATTGAGGAGGAGTGGAAGAGTCTTCTAGCACCTTGAAAAAGAGTCCATGTTCTTTAGTTTTGATTGTAAGTCTCCAAAAAGCCATATAAATTCACATTCTTTAGCCTTCATTGTTTGATTAAGAATGGAAAAAATGCAAAAAAAAACTGGGGGACAACCCTATAAATTTTATGTTGCCCAGCTTTCAAAAAGTGATATCAATGTAAATGATTTGGTTTGCCATGTTTTTAATATCTGTTTGTACCTATGTGGACTATAAAGAAAACAAACTATTCAGGGGGGCACTGTGCCAGGATTGTGACTTTAACACACCCCTCAAGACATACTGGCTCCTTCAAACCAATGAATTAATACATGCACATCCACAGATTATTCATGGATGGATTTTCACCTCTCTCCCAAGCCTAGTGGGAACTGACTTAAACATTTTATTGAAAATTTTTCCTTTAAGTGCCCATGACACGAAATGGTTTTTTGCATATTCTCGTTGATAGCTGTTTTTTAAATTAGAAGTAATCGACCTTAGCGCTCAGCGAGTTCTCCTTGACAACTTTTTCTTTGTGCATTGAAAGTATGATTTGGCGGCCCAAAAGTGCTATTAAACGCGCAGCCAAAACGACACGTTGCATAGTTGTGACGCAGGAAACTGTGAGGACACGGCGGCAACTATGGTGAAGAAAGGAGAAATCTAGAAGGAAGGACGAACGTGTTGCGTGGCCGAAGCGCCAAATGATGTTAGCTATAAGAATAATACAGATACACCGGGTATTTCTATACACTACTTTCCAAAGGATGTAGCTGTACGGCCAAATGGACGCGTTTCGATCATCGACCGAGGAGATTTTACTCTTCAATGTCATCGGCCTCATGCTCCGTACCGCTTCGAAGACGCCTGTGACAAACACAAATCACTAGTCAAATCAGGGGAAGATAAATAATGAGTTCAGCTGAAAAGAATGCTGAGAAGGGGTCTGTTCCCACACCGTACGCGATTATTCATCGTTCTTTTCGACTGACATTTCGCAAGCGAAGAATGGTGAGCTCTTTATTTTTGTTTATTTCACGCGCTTAAGATATATTCATACTCCTTGTCTTTCCATATGACTTCATTTGCGCTTTTCTTATCGTATGAAAGTCCTAGCAATTGCAGTTTCCATGGTCTTTTAATAACAGAAATACATCCTTTGTAATAAAGTTCAAGCCCTTTCCCGAGCTGACCGGTATCCAGTTGCGTGAACAGTGTGAAACCTCTGGCGGAAAGCCAGTTAACCTTTCCGAAAACCATCCCACGAGCCATCGATTACCCCTGCCCTCAAGAAACTAAAAGTAGTAACAACAACATTCCAACAGTAGGAATGTCATTGTGATAACAGCATCACAGCGAGATAAATATTGAATTATTGAAGTAGATGTGGCGAATCCAAGTGCTGTGTGAAAGTCGATGCGAACGAAATATTTATTTATCATACTGATGTCAGTTATTTCCTTTGAGCGGAATGGGTCATAGAGCAATTCTTCGCTTAAACTAAAGAAGTTTTTCTCAGCTAAAATTCCTATTTGAGATTAACTTGAATCAGATGATTATAAACTCACTCGTTATCTGTTCGGATTGACCGGTGTTAAAGCGGGTTAAACCCCTTCCCCTACTAAACTTTCCTTTAAACGTGGCTCCGTAGGGCTTTTTGACCGCCCGAGACCTGGACCCGAACATGGCGCGAGCTTTGAAAATGTCAACATGCCAAACAAATATGGCGGCTCGATACGATCGCACGATTCATATAAAAAGAGGCGTGTAAAAAATATATATACACATTATAGACTCTGGGAATTCTAACAACGACACCCAATGTATTTCTTGGCCTTTTACGTCTGAAAAAGGCCGACACAACGCCTGCGACGCGTTTGGTCGCTTCGAGAATACCTAAAAAATAAAGATAACAACGAAGGAATCATGAAGTTAAGGCTACCAAATTTGGTCAGCTAGAAAAACTGAATTCCGAAGACGGCTGCGAGGAAAAGGAACCACCTACAAAACGGGCGCTAAGGTCATCTCGGGTAAGTAACCTACATGTTCAGGATAGTTGCCTTTTTCCGTCCTCGGAAGATAATTATTGTTTTGATCGATCGCGAAGTTCAGGTCGCTAAGGTAGCTCTGATTTCCGCTAGCAGACGGCAGCTAAAAATCTACAAGGAACTCGAGTGGTAGACATACAAACATTTGCACAAGGCCTCAAGGAATGTTTATTTTGTAAACGTGGGAAATATGAATAATTTCTAATTTTACAACAATATTAACCGAGTGATACACACTATAAGAATTGAATTTGCCGCAGTGCGGCATTTCGATGATGCTTGCAAGGATTCCTCGAAATGAATCGCGTAAAGGTATGTACCTTATTATCTTGCACGGAGCAACTATAGAATACAGGGCCACTGATGTCCAGTAGCGCTTGTGTTCGTGGTCAGAGAAATTCGCAATTCCGAAAAGAACATGCCAAATAAATATTCATGGCGCGAAAAAATTCGAAAGTGTGCGCAAGCTCAAATACCAATCTTGACGAAATTCCATTCCATTACGTAATGTTTTGCGACAAAGAAAAGGGGGATCTTTCGAGTAAAATTTATCGCGTTTTCTTCGGTGGAATTTCCTAAGATTTGCTGGACCGTTAAGCATATTTGTGTCCTTCCTAGTGCCTGTTGACAAAAAAAAATTCATAAGACCCAATTTGAGATAGAGGAAGAAAACACAAAATGGCAAATAGCGAGAAAACTGCCCATGTAACCCCTATTTTCTCGGCTTTTAAATGATCGGCAGGACAATTTTCACAACTTGTGGAAATTTTAGAGATTCCACCGAAGAAAATGGAAGAAAATCAAAGGCAAAGCCAAATTATCAATGGTAAGCGCCTCCCTTAGTGGAGCCTTAGCTTCATAACGAAAATCATTTTCTTAATATTTATTACAGCAAACGATAGTCCGAACCTTGCTCATTGCCTTTTGATAGCTTTTTATGACCTAGAAAAGTGAAAACAAAAAAATTTTACTGGAAAAACAATACGCTGGCGCGCGCGCCAACATTGAGCAAAAACCCTATGGAGCCAACTTAGGCATCGTTTGTATCACATTTGGTACCTAATTCTATTTGCAAGCTTTTTGTCGATGTTTTTTTAATCACAACACAAAATTCATCAATAAAGGTAAAGAAAAACAGCCATGTCCATGAGTTCAAGGAATTTGAGCCTGCGATTTTTGTTTTACTAACGAGAGCTCGAAATATCTTCACAAAATTTCGTCATGTGGTGTCGAAAAGAGTGCAGTTCACTCACGTGGTCAATGGGTATGCAAATTTGGAGGAACAGAAGAAGTTGTTTGCTAAAGCGTTCAAATCCCATAGGATTTGTTTGGAACACCAACATGGCGACGGGCCACACGTTTCAAATTACAATAAACTTTGAACAAAGATATGTATGAATACCTATGGAAGCCGGGAGAGGTCTATCTCTAAGTCGAATTTTCGCCATTTAAACGTAAACCGCTTTCTTTGATATTTGGCATTCGGAATAACAAATTTAAAGATTTCATAAAGCATCATATCTCGGTGCGAGTAAAACAAGATATTACCAGATTTTAGGGTCAAACAACATTTTTTAGAAAAGAAAAAATAGCGGCGGGCCCCCTTAAACCTTTATAGAATCATTGCTCTGGAGAAAATCATAGCCGACGCAATGTGACTTGACTTGGTTAACCTTTTAAAGAAAAAAAGGAAAATTACCGTGTAAATGCAAGTTTTTCGCGATTTTACAAAGGTTTAATTATAGTTGAGTTTGTTGAACACCGTTTTATGCGCATTCTCATAATGTTGAACATCGACGTCAATTACATACAGAAAAACAAGTTTTTCCTAGCACAGTCTGCGATTTATTTGCGACATACACGGAGCGTTGTAAAAATTGTATTTCAGTTTAAATTTTTCCTCAATTTTGTGTTTTTTTAAAGGAAAGTTAAAAAAGTAATTTGAGACGGAAACCGGAATCTGCAGGAGTAGAATCCAGCACTTGGAATATGGAATCCCCCGCGTGGAATCCAGAATCTAATAATGTCCTGGATTACCTTACATGGGTCGAAACGACGCAACCACTTCTACTACAAGTCGTTCGTAAAGCCTATGATAAGTAAAAATGTTTCTGTTCTGAAATATTGGAACTCTCAGCTTATTTTCAAATGCAAATCAACATTAATGTTTACGTCTTAACAAAAGTGGAGACTATTGCATCGAACTCATTCTTATTTTCTTATTTTAACGATTATCAACTGTTGAGGGATCCGAAATAACACCTTAACAATTACGAAGACGTCTAGAGTCTGGCGGTCTGCAGACAATACAGAGCCACTCGCCCTCCGAGGCAGTCTTAAATCCCTCGCAGCTCATGTGCAACCATTCCACGCTCACCTTGCACTGTATCATGTCGTCCCAACACTCGCGCATTGAACAATAACTAAATTGATGTCACAAGTTTGTCTCTTATTGAATCTAGAGGTGTTCGACTGTTGCGGAAAAGGTTCAAAACGACCTTTCTCCAAACATTAAACTAAATACTTGCGCATTTTCCTTTGGTCAAAAGAAACATGCGACAAGTCATTTCCAGCTACCAGTGCGTATGCATTGGCGATGCACATGAATTTAAAACATACTTTAGTTCACACTGGAACTTAAAGTATTGTCTATTTCTAATAGAACATTAAGGATGATGTTTTCACTTAGTTTTGTTGAGGGGTCTAAATCCGCCGAAGGGGGTCCAAACCCACTTGCGGATTTGGATTGGGGGGCTCCATATCCCATAGCTAATTGGTTTGTAAATATGATGAGCTAAATATTTACACAAAAAAATTCATGTCATGGGCACATCAACTTGAACCCAGCTCTAACTTGAACCAAAATTGATTTCCCTTGGATTTCCATCGTACATTTACTGCAATTTTACCCTAACTAACTCAAACCCTCAATAACTTGAACCTCACACTACCTTAAAGCAATTTTAATTTCCCTTCTGGTCATTCTCTGCATATTTTTACCCCCTGAAAACTTGAACCACATCTGTCAGTATGTGAGAAATCTAGACACAGTGTACTGCAGTCCAAAATGTTTACTTAATGTCATGACTTCTGCAGAAATTTAGTGTTTTATCATCACTTGTATTCTCTTTAATTAAATTTGATTAAAATGTACACTGTATGAGTAGAAAAAAGTGAATGCCATTTTTCCCTTATTTCCAGTACTTTGTTTTTAACTCCTGATAACTCAAATCTTTTTCAATATTCCTTGAAGGTTTGAGTTATTGGGGCTCAACTGTGTCAAGAAAAAGGGTCTCAGTGCCACTTACTCGCCATTCATTTTTTTTTTAATGTTTTTTTTTTTACAAGTAACAATTAATCTTTTGATAAGAATGTTATTCTGCTTTTGTTGCTTTGCTTTTACCTATGGCAAGAACATAGTTAGAATTTATACACAAGAACTTTCAAAAGTTCTGTCCCTCCCCTCCCCCATAGACAGTTTAGACCCCTTTGATCAAATACTCGCTCTCACCTTTTACGCAGATGGTTTGAAAATATAAGGGTTAAATTGTAATATCCATGCAAGGTTGTTGAATTGAATAATGTTTGCTCTTCAAGCATGGCATGTTGCAAAGCAAAACACCCTTCCAGGGAGGTTAAGGAGAAATTTGATACTCTCCTACACTTGATTCCAGCAATATTGGGCATAGTAATTTGGTATTATCAACTGAGTTGGTAACATAAATCAGCCACCATTAAGAGTTTCAAAGCTGACATTTCGAGCGTTAGCTCTTCATCATTAGCTCTGACTGAAGGGCTAACCCTTGAAATGTCAGCTTTAAACGTCAGCTTTAAAACTCTAAAAGGTGGCTAATTTACACTTTAAACAGTGATTATGTGTTGAATGTGTGGCTCTGCTCACCAAACTATCCAGGGAACTGACAGACATGTTCACAGCATTGACATGTAGGGTAAACACCAACAACTTTCACTATTGGTGACCATGTTTGTGATATCATTTCAGTTGCCAATGTTAGAGCATACGATTGCCGAATGTGTGAAAGGGTGTACCAGACTGAGGAGGAACTGGAGAAACATCTGCTTAACCATGCTGAGCATCGCCCCTACAAATGTCCTCAGTGTCAGAAAGGATTTAAACAGCCTTGCCATCTGAATCAACACCTGCGAACACATACAGATGAGAGGCCATTCCCCTGTGAGGTGTGCCGCAAATCCTTCAAGCAAGCTTGTCAGCTTAAACAGCACATGCGGCTCCACACAGGAGAGAAGCCTTATCACTGCTCCCAGTGCAATCGTTCTTTTAAGCAAGCTAGCCAGTTAAACCAGCATGTGCGCCTCCACACTGGAGAGAAACCTTACAAGTGTAGCCACTGTGACAAGACATTCACACAGGCCAGCCAACTGCGATCACACAAGAAGACCCATGATCCTAAACCTGAGAGGAAGTCCATGTCAAAAAAGCCAAAGGCAGTTGCCCGAGGTGCAGTGGTTATGCCTACTTTTACCACCAAGGTCTCTTCGCAGTCCATGTTGTATCATCAGAAACAACCTACTTTCAGTCCTGCTTTAAAAATGGATCCTCCATTTGGTGGAAACTTCAAAAGTGCACACCCATTTGGTACAGGTATGTCTCAGGTATGTCACATGCGAGAAGTACCAGTTTCCTCTATAACACATGACTTTCTGGGATAGATCAAATAAAACTAAGAGCTGTAGTTTCCTTATGTATTTTCAATGCTGACAAGCAAAAAAACATGTGATAATTACAAGGCTGTGATCTTCATACACATTTTGCATTCATATACAAGAACTCTGTTCACTTAAAATCTTTAAACTACTATTTGATTTGGAAACATCCATTCAGAACCCACTAATCAGAAAGATCTTTGAACAACCAGAACAGTTTAAAGGTGATCTGCCGTAATTGGTCACAAACCTCTCTTTCATCACCTTTAATCATATGTAATATTGATAACTAAACTTTTGATGGTCAACTTTTTGAGGATCTATCTGGTATAATTGAGTTATTTCTAAAGACCAAGCCATTGTACTAGCAGCAATAATAACATTCATGCTGGTGACTTGAGAGTTGGTTACACACACTGTGTTGTGAGACAATAACAGCAAAAGCTAGGACTTTGTTGACTTTAAGACTTAGACACTATTGCTGTTGTTTTTGCATTACACAGTGTGTGAAGTTTCCTCTTCAGTTACTAGTGCAATAGGCTACACAGTGGGGAGGGATTCAAATTTGTAGTAATTGTCAAAAGAGTTTTGTGGAAGAAACATTCCTTACAGTTTAAGTCAATCATTACTGTTGGCTACAGAGAGTCAAACACAAATGTAAAAATGAAATTGATTACTATACACAAAGAACCACAGAACTATTTACTCTTTTCTAACAGTTTCCAGCAAGAGAAATCAATCAAACTTGTGCAAACAAAAGTTTAGATTACAGCCTTGAATGCAGATATTGTTATGATAATTGTTCTTGTCAACAAATATTAAATTATTGCAGTTTCATATAGCTCATGATAGACATACTACAGTCTGGAATGACAGTGAGCATGCAAGCGTTTTCTGAAGTTATTCATCAAGGTACAGGTGATGAAAAGTGAACATGTGTAAGAAAAGATGAGGAAGATACATGTCCTTGTAAAAGTTGTATAACATTTAACAAAGCTCAAAACTTTTCTGTCCTATTCAGCAGTCGCTGTACATGTTTTTTGGTTGAGTGAGGACCTGTAACATGTAACAATTTACTTTTCTTCAACCAATGAAAGATGAACTCTGAAAAACATCAATGCTTCAAATTTTTGGCAAAATTTAATGTAAACAGGACAATGACAGGAAACAAATTGCATATCATAGTAGCTTTTCGTGCCCAGGAAAATAGTTCCTTATGTTGAAAAGCTTGCATGCCCACTGTTCTTTCAGGTTTGTCCACATGAGTTATGGTAATGAAATTACCATGTAGGGCTTTTTGTAAGCAAGATGAATAATTCTATATAAATATTCCATTGGTGTAGTTTAGCCCATGTGCCATGCACATTGGATGAATTGTCTTACAGAACAAGAGAGATGGGTATGTAGGGTGTGGGTGCCATGATTGAGAATGATGGTCAGCTGTTAATATTATGGACCTTTTGAGGAGAGTATTAATGGGGTTATAACCAAGAGGGGTTTCACAGACTCTTAACTCTAATTTCTTCCCGTGCTTTTCAGTGACATGCTTTATCTGGAGTTTCAGTTGTATTGTTTGAAATGAATATTTTTCTATCAGGCTGCTTTTAAATATGGAAACATTTGCAATGTATGCAATAAGCTGAATTATACTTGCATTTTGATTGGTTCTAATGCTTAAATGATCTATTGGACAGAATCATAGATGACATTACCATGAACAACATCTTTCTTTTTATCACATAAAACAAACTGCTTCTATGTTGCTGTAGACATAAACTTATGCATTAGATTTGGCACCTGTAGCCCCTGAGGGGTGCAATGTGATAAATTGACACACCTGCATTTCATCATTAAAGTTTCATGTACTTTGTCTCTTATTCGCCTTTTCTTCTTGCGAAAAAAGAAACTCTTAATTCCTCATTAGGGGAATAACTTTTATTGAAAAACCTGTGAAAGCTGTCAGTTTTCAAGCAACATTTTGGATTCTGTAATTTGTGATAAAGGAATTTTTCATATCTTTCACTGATGACTCCCCCACTCCATTAGTACTCTCCTTAAAAAACCTTAACACATGTAGTAGTAACATATCAGATGCTGACCCCTGGAGAATAAGCATATACACAAACCATAAATTCAGGTTCATGTGCATGTGGCTTCCAGTTCTTGAAACATTTTTGCAGTAGCCAGGGTTCCCAGAAGATGTGATTTACTACATGGCTCCAAGCTGCAACTTTATTGGTCACAAGAGCAATTGAAATAGAATTTTTTTTTAGGCCTTAAGTTTTACTGAGATAAGAAATTGCGTAAGATATTATGAATGTCCTGTAGTTTTCTCTTACGAAAACTTGCCCAGTTTTCCTTGGTGATCTGTGTGTGAAGCCAAAACCTTGAGATATGCAATAATTTTTCTGGCTTTTTTTCCCATTTTGTTGATTAACTGCTTACTTTTGGCGATCAATCTAGGATTTAAATTCACCAAATAGCCACTTCCAAAACCACAAGTGTCCCAAGCTCATGTCTCTAGAAAAAGGAAAATGGTCAATTCATGAAAGCATCCCACAGCTAAGTTATGTAAGGAACTGTTGAGAATTCTTGTTATAAGACAAATAACAGGGATGGCAAAGCAAGTTGAAAACAGCAAAGAACACCAGAAACCACAATGGAAAGACAAGGAGTAAGTTAGTTCTTTCAATCTTTTGTGTAAAATGTTTATACTTCAAAATAGTCAGCATTGTAAATTGTTTCTCTCCCCATACTATTTTTTATAACAGGTTCAAATTCTCAACAGTTCCTTGCATAACTTAATACTACATTACACAACACACGAGGCTTTCATGAATTAATCTTTTGCATTTTCTCGAGACCCACGCTTGGGATGCCTGTGCCAAAACAAGTTCAGCTTGGAGCCCTGAATAACTATAGCTACCATTTGCAAAGTAATTATAACAGGCAGTTGGAAAACAGCTAAGACATACCTGAGAGCTGGTAAATGTGATTTATTCGCATGAAGCAGTAGTACCCAGAAATACAAGTTTAGTCTCCAGATACTTTTGAAAAAATTGGTAGAGAATACTAAAATATTTTGGTTTTAGTTTTGAGTGCTCATTGGGGGAAATAGCCAAAGTTCAAGATAACTGAAATCATGAGATTTCTGCACTTTTCCTTCATTAAGTGTACAGAGCACGTTTAGATGATGAACTGATGTTTTTAATCATTTTGTACATCAGGATAATTGTTACAAATTGTTAGTGCTGATAAATTGTGTATAGTAATGTCGCTGAATGACTCAAAACTATTTTTTTTATACTAATATTAATAGTTATAATGTAAAACTTGGAGCAGTTTCAAATTTAGTGTTGACATTTGATAGGGCAGGATGCCAAATGTGGCAAGAGAGGCAGGTGCATTTACATAATTATTTACATGACAAATGCAGTAAATCTCACCTCTAATAGTCCAGGCCCCAGTTGTTTGAAGATTGGATAGCACTATCCACTGGATAAAACTCTACCCAGTGGATAACGCTATATGTTTAGCTATTACTTATCTGCTGGATAGGAATTTATCCGTTGGATAATGTTATCCGCCCTTTATACAACTGGGCCTAGATCATCAATGATACCACCATGGCCCTAGAATATATTCTTGTTCCTGGCATCTGACGAGCCAACCAACCGACGAATTGACCACAAGTGGTCAATGAGTGATGAGTTTCTGCACAAACTCAGAAAACCAGTCTTGCAAAGGAGTTATTTATAGCTTCATAGCCCAAAGCATTACACTGTCAAGAATGAGTTTTCAAAAAAATTTGGGTTTTAAATGCTTGCAGATTCTCACTATGCAACCTCCTAGTCACTGTCCAGGTTTAAAACACTAAATTGGATACTGCTCTGTAGAGACACTAATAATTTAGTTGCGCTAGATTAGAATATGTGAAGACTTTGTAGATATTTGAAAAAATCATGCTGAGTTATAGAAATGTGAGGTTAATTTATTAATTTTATAGTTATTGTAAATTATTATTTTGAGGGTAACCAGTACCTTTTTCTCATATGTCTGGAGACAATAAATCCAAATGGAGCAGAAGCATACATTATATATTAAGGATTGTAGTACACCATACTAGCGTTCAATAGCATGCGTTAGCTAGTAGCATGGATACCATGCAGATGGAAATAAATTATAAATCAGTATTAGGTGGTATGTAAAACATACCTGGCCCAGTAATGTAACATCCTAAGTACTTCTCGTTGTTTGTCACATATCAATCAACTCATGGAGTGTTGGCAAATAAAGCCTAAATGTTTTTTAGATCAGAAACTAGCTCTGCAGGGATTGTAGACTTGTAGAGCAAGTGTTAAACTTACAACAGATTGAGGCAAACTCTAGATTTGTTCGACCAAAATTAATTTTTCTTGATACCATATCTGTATTCTAAGGAGCAGGCTGAGGTGTGACTCAAAGTTTCCTCATTTACTGAAAAAAAAAAATGGTTCTCTCAAAATCCATAACTTTGTAGGTAACATTTTCTTCTAGTCCATTTGATTGTTCACAGCTTTTCTTTCTTTTGTTAATACCGGACTACAAGGGAAGCAAACTTGATTGCATTCTGTTATCACTTAGCTTAATCAAATGACCTAAGAAAAAATTCAGGAAAATACCAAATATTCAAAATATCTGTCTACAAATTATCATCAATTTAGCTCCTATCTATAGGAGCTATACAAGTTAGAAAATTTGTGTATGTTTTAAGCTTTCTTTCCAATGTTCTTCTGCTGAAGTAAAAAGTTGCAAAAATTACTTCCCACCAGAAATTTTAGTCCTCTTAAAATAAAAAATAGAAAAAATTGTTCCTGCAAAGTAAATCTGGTCAGCAGCACTGGAAAGGCTGTGAACAGTCCTTGGGGCTGAAAATTGTTCATAGGAAGCCTCCAGAGGGGTTTATGAAGGGAATCCACATATATTGTGTTATCTAACAATTCTGTAGAAAGCTTAAGTCCTAAACT